TCCGACCAAACACAGCACAGCACACTCTCAACTTTTGCAATTGGAATTTTCGAGGTATCCATGGGGTGCCGTCGAATGTTTTGGTTTTGACATCATGGTCAGGATAAAGAGTTGATCATATTTCCGATTGATTGTGTGTTTCGTCCGCGAATGAGACAGACAATTGTCCTTCTCCGCGTTTCTCGATAAGCCCGGAGAATTTGATAAGTCGGACATGAGGATGGACATTCGCTAAAGCTGCGCTCGGGGATAAGTTGCAGGTGTTCGGATCATGGCTCCGGACCAAGCTTATTTCAACATACCCCCTGTCGAATTGTCAGCGCGAAAATCAAACCAAACAAAGTCTTCCGCTCTCGCCGGAAAACAACAATAATAGCCTTGGGAAAGAAAGGGTTCCACGTGGGAGGCAAAGCTCGCGCCAACGGCTTCCGAACAAAAATGTTTCGTGCTTTCTTTTTGCCCTTCTTCTCTTTCGTAGTAGTATACGGCCTCGGAAACTGAAACAGACCAGGGATGGACCTGTTCAACCTGTCATCTCGGGTACGCAAGCCAACTCCTCCGGCCAGCTCGGGCCTTCTCCTATGACCCGCACTTTGGCTGGCGACTTTTCCGGAGTGGCAGACGGCACTTTGATTGAAAAGAGCGGGTTTATTGACGCCGAACTTCGAAGACAACAGGCGGCTGGATCACCTGAGTGCCCGCTACGCCAGAGAGTTGAGGGGCGCAGCTCGCTTTGCTGCCCTCCCAGAGTCCCAGCAGCAAACGAAAGGGGGGGCCTCCCTCGCAAAAGGTTCGCCAAGTTGAGCCAAGTTGACAGAATGGGCGAGAAATTGTGGGGAAAATATGCCATGATTGGAGGAGTCGCCAATTCTTCCCTGACCAAGGAGTTGCGCGATGAAACGTTGAACTCCCCACAGCCAACTGGGACGGACGAGTATAGTCTAGTCAAAGCCGGGTTGGTTGCCCTTCTGTAATCTGTGGCTGGCCGGGCTGCAGTTTGGCTTTGGCAGTGTTTGGTAAGCAAAGAGGCGGTTCGTCTTCTCTCTGCCGTAGCCCTGTACTGGTTACGACAGTAGTACAGAGGATGGACTGGGCAATATGGATGAAGCAGACGCATGCCTGTCGGCTCCTCTTGTCTTGTTAGTCTGACGGGTGTTGTGACCGGGGGAAGATATACCAGGGTTACAATCCGTCTGGTGTCGTCTGCTGATTGCTGGTGAGTATTTGCTTCCGGTGACTATTGAAGCGGGGAGCTCCAAGAGATGGGTTTCGTAGGATCCCGTCAATTAGACGAAGGGACGGGACGGGTCTGTCTAGTTGATGCTGCGGAAAGGGGGTACGAAGTAGGAAGAGAGGTGGAGGAGGGTATATACCAAGCCCGCGAGCAGGAATTTCACGAAGGAGAGGAGAAGAGCTTAACTCGTTCTTCGCCAGTTTTCTTCTTTACTCTTCGAGGGACCTTCCCCCCCCCCCCCCCTATCGTTCCATTCTCTTTGATCAGAGAGTCCCGATAATAGCCTATCGTCATCGTCGATCGATCGTCGTCGGCCAAGATGCTCGCCTCCCTCGCCTCCGTCTTCCTCCTCGCCCTCTCCACGGCCAACGCCGCCCTGACCTACAAGGGCGTCGACTGGTCCTCGACGACCATCGAGGAGAAGGCCGGCATCAAGTACAAGAGCAGCGCCGGCACCTCCCAAGCTCTCGAGACCATCTTCAAGAACGCCGGCGTCAACTCGGTCCGCCAGCGCGTCTGGGTGAACCCGTCCAACGGCGACTACAACCTCGACTACAACCTCGCCCTCGCCAAGCGCGCAAAGGCGGCCGGCCTCTCCGTCTACCTCACCCTGCACTTCAGCGACACCTGGGCCGACCCGACCAAGCAGGCCATCCCGTCAGGATGGCCCTCGGATATCGAGAACCTCAGCTGGAGGCTCTACAACTACACCCTGGACGTCAGCAATGCCTTCCAAAAGGCCGGCGTGCCCCCCGCCATCATCTCCATCGGAAACGAGATCCGCGCCGGGTTGCTCTTCAACACGGGCAAGACGTCCAACTGGTACAACGTCGCCAAGCTCCTCAACTCGGCCGCCTACGGCATCAAGGACTCGACCCTGAGCCCCAAGCCCAAGATCATGATCCACCTCGACAACGGCTGGGACTCGAACGTCCAGGCCAACTGGTACACCAGCCTCTTTGCCAAGAACGTGCTCAAGACGACCGACTTTGACATGATGGGCGTCTCCTACTACCCCTTTTACGGATCCGGCGCCACCCTGGCGGCGCTCAAGTCGAGCTTGTCCAACTTGGCCTCCAAATGGGGTAAGGAGATTGTCGTCGCCGAGACCAACTGGCCCACGAGCTGCCCCAGCCCCGCCTACGCCTTCCCGAGCGATCTCAAGAGCATCCCCTTCTCCGCTGCCGGCCAGACAACCTTCCTGAAGAAGGTTGCCGAGGTCGTTGCCGGTGTCAGCAACGGAAAGGGTCTCTACTACTGGGAGCCCGCATGGTGAGATTTTCCTCAAGTCATCTTTACTTGTCATAGCATCTACTAACGGACTACAGGATGAACAACCAGGCCCTCGGCTCTAGCTGCCCCTCCAACACCCTGTTCGCGTACCCCGGTACCGCCCTGTCTAGCTTGGATACCTTCAAGAGTATCTAAGAGGGCGTCTTTCCACATTGATGACGGGATGTTCAGGAGTAGGATGATGGAGGACTGTCCATATTGATATCAGCTCGTTTCCATAAATGTCGGAGAACATTCTCTCCGGCATGGAGGCTGCGTAAATATCTTTTACTTCAGCACGTACATATATTTAGCGTTGTTCGTACATAGTTGAGCCAGATGAAGCACGAGCCCTGGCGGTATATAATCAATCTTTATCAACTCATTCATGATGGTCGACCACATCTCAATTATCCTGCATCTATGCGCAACCTCTTGGGAGCAGTTATCTAAAGGTCAGCTATGACTTGTACTGAAGTCTAGCAGAATTGTGTCACATAACGCTTGGCTTGGTCACCTCCATCGTATAATAAGGGGTGTCTGGGTACCATAGATGATCATTTTGAGGCCTTGTCTGTTCATATGAATGAAGCATGGCATCATCGTTGAAAGTGAACACATGCCGAAAAGCGAGTATCGCCCATGTGTTCCTGTCTCGGAACATTGTTGATAGCTACTGCATCGTCAGCAGTAGACCAGGCTTGTCTGGATGATCCTGTGCATCTCGCTCGTGTAAACCAATTCTTAATGATTTACACTTCTTTAGCTTCCTTAATATCGGTTTAATTAAAGTTCGCACAAAGGCAATGAACCTCTAGAAGGCTTATGTTCAGCAACCAAGTCAAAAAGATAATAACATTGACCGAAACAGCAAAAGAGTTCCCCACCCCCAACCCCCCAACCCCGCTTCCCGGTGCTGAAATGGGGGCTACGTCTCTTGGTGCTCATGCTGGGAATCGAACTCGGAGCCTGTCGTCGAGTAGACTGGTTGGCGAATAATTGATTGTTGACCATTAACCATTCCACCACCACGCCACAATTTGACCTGACCCCCGACCTAGAGGGCGCCTGCTGTGCTGGTGACGAGAATGGAATTGATGGGACCTATATGTAATTATCCTCCAGTGTGTATTCAGGTTCACGTGTGGGTGGCTGAGAGGTTATCGGATGAAATTTTGGTAGATGGCGGACTACCTCAGGCAGACAAGCTTTCATTACAAGGACGGGAAGGTACGGTTAGCACCACCTGCCCTGCTATTTTGATCCAATACTAACTAAGTCCCTTAAGGGTAAGGTAGTAAGGATAGAAACATGGTTGATATCGCTCTCCTCTGATGGCCTGGGCCGCAAACCGTCTTTTCTAGAACGAGACCTCACAGAGAAGTCATATGCCTCTTTTAGAATGTGAGATGTGCGGGTTCGTTGGCCGAGTATGTCTTTAGACGAAACGAAGAGGCTCCCATCATCCATTTATTCGCAATATTGTACGAAGCTTACGACCTCTGTATCCTAAATGAAGGGAGATATCTAAATAGCTACGTGTGTGATGATTACCATTGATTCCGGGCAGATCGGCACATACCACTTCCGCCCATTCCAAAATGAGCAACTACTCGGCTAAGAACAATTCATGGTAGAGCGAGCTTGGGCATATAGTAGAAGCCGGACTATGGCGTGAAGTTGATGACAGGTTCGGGAATCTAAGCGGAACCCTGGCTCGTACTAGCTTATGAGATAATTCCTCATTGACCTCTCGCCTGGATCTCTCGACCACGAGTCCTCCCGTTTCCATTTTAGCAACCCGACAAACTTCCAGATGTTCCCCTATACTGCCCGGAACTTCCCATTGACGGCTTCCCCCGAGAGGAAGCAAGCTCGATCACCGATCCTCCGGACCTATTACTCCTCGCCAAAGGAGTTGCGCAAGTCACCCCAAACGTTTCAACAAGAACCAGGGCAAAATAGCAATAGTAGCTACATGTTCAAGGGATTAAAGTCATCTGATACTCATGCTGTAGAATTTGAACCCTTGAAGGGGGCCTGGGCCTGGGCCTGGATCTTTGCTTCGGCCTTGGCAGTAACCTAAGACAATCCCAGGCCTGGACCGCGAAAGCTAGTCAGAAGAGTCTAGACGACCCAGAGAACTGGTCAGTCCTAAAGCTGTTATGGGACGTTGCCTCCCTAGATTCAACTGCCTTTGTGTCAACGTTAAATCGCCGATCCTTTCCTCCACGTAGCAGCCAACGCTGAGGCCTACCCTGAATAGGTAGCAAGAAACCTGGTTTGGCATCTCGAGCTGGTCTAGCGTTGACCCCGAGATCCGTCGGGCCGGGCAGTCCTCGCTAGTTGAAGGTCTGGATTACAGGAAGAAGGAAACATACAGCAAGAAAGAAAAGTCAGGGATGAATCTTAAAGACAAGAGTAGAATTCCAGCATTACTCAAGCAATAAACATGCTATTTCAGAGTTTATCGCTCCATTTTGACCGCCTATTCTCATCCAGCCAGTCCATTCTCCTTCCTCCACTCTCTGATCCGAACAAGCAGCTTCTCCCGACGCGCAAGGCCCTGAGAGTTCCAAACACCCTCCTTGGTAGGATAAAATTCATCAAAGCGAGGCTTACCATCGTCAGCGACCTCGACGAACGGCAGCTTGCTGCGCATAAAAATGTAAACGTCCGGACCGCCTAGTAGAGCTGGCGCGTCGAGGGTGCCGACGCGGAGGAACTTCATCAGGGGACCTGTGCCGTCGTAGTTGCTCCAGACGGGCGTAAGACAGAGGGGACAGCGAGCAATGTGCTGAGGGGCGCCCGAGTCGGCGGGGACGGGGAGGATCACGGGGGAAGGGATGTCTGCCTCGACGCGGTGGTTTCCGTTATCGTCGTTTCCCTTGCTCTTGTTCTCGCTCGTCTCGTGGACAGCGTCGCCGGGTCTGGACTGCTGCTGCTGCCGCCTGGGAGTCCAACTATCAAAGGTAGACGCCGGGAAAGACGCCAGCGGCTGCAGCGGCGGTGAGGCGGACGAAGGCTTGCTCGGTAGGAGGGTCACCCCGTCTCCCTCGACGACGGCGTTGAGGGCGAAGGCGGTGCCGGTCTCACGCTGGCAGGAGGTGCAGTGGCAGCAGTGGACGACCATGGGCGGGGCATTGAGGGAGTACCGGATGTTGCCGCAGGCGCAGCCGCCGGTGAGGGGGAAAATGGAAGGGTCTTCGCCGGTGGAGTGAGACATTGTGGTGTTTGTTGGTTGTTCTTGTTGACTCGTTTTTTGTTCGGCTTTTCGACGGTTGTGGCCCGTTTCGGTTGCGCGTAGGTGGAGAGACCGGGTATTTTGCGTCCCGGGTGATCAATGATAAAGGGTCCAGACCTGGTAAGATTGCTGACGGTTGATGGGACTCGGTGGTGTGCCTTTGTTCAGAATTCCAGAGGGTGGTGAGGGTTCTGTTCGGTGTAGAGAGGGGTGGGAAGGGGGCAGGTCTGGATTGGCAAAAGTGTGTAAGTGAGATGTCTGCGGGGGGCTGGGGGAACCTTACTTCGGCCTGAAGGAGAGAAAATGTCTCGGAAAGACCCTGAGTTTGAGCAAACAGAGTCAGAAAAAAAGTGAAAACTTCCTATGAAAAAGGAAGAAACAATGGATTAGAGGAAGAGAAAGAGAGGGGAGAAGTGAAACGAAAGGGCGCGAGGAAGAAGGAGAAGGAGTGCAAAGGCATTGTTGATAGGCGAGGAGGTGAGGGAATTCGAGCGTGCCCAGTCAGAGTTGAGGTGATGGCCTGAATAGGCAAGTTTCTTATCTAATCGCTGCAGATGACACTTTTCCCCTCTTTCTTGCTGTGCCTTTTCCCCACCCTGAGGCAGACAAAAACCAACACAAGTGAACCTGGAAGCGAAATAAGCCGACAAGCGGAAGATCTTTTGCTTTCTCCATGATAAACTTGAACAAGTTTGTAAATTTGCCCATGATATAGCTAGATATGATGTGTCGTTTGATGGACATGACAATCCTCTGCCGCGGGTAACCCTTGAACCAGACTCGTACACAAAATTTGGGCATAGCCTGACGATCGAAGTCTCTGCATCCTATGGAAAAGTCGGTATGGCAATCCCTAAGACTGAATGAGGCACTGGTGTTGTACGATTCTCTTGGCTTCGGGGGTTCCAGGCATTTTGAAGAGGTCATTAATGACAGATGTGGTTGTTGTGAGGGAAGCGGTTGGGTGGGTTGACTCAGACAGAGACCCTGGAAGGGGGCTTTCGCGCGCCCAGGGCTCGGCTTACACGGTTGCTTGAAGCATCACAGGGTCTGAATCGTTTTGACCTAGGTGGGAGGGCACGCCGAGGCGGAGGAGGGCCGCATTCCGATCGAAGGCGGGTTTTTTCATCGTTTGACGCCGGCGTGATTGTTCCAACTTTAGACACCGTTAGATGGCGTTTGTGGTGTTTTTTTCTTTCTTTCTCTCTGCGTCATTTGTATGATGGTGAAAACCGTTGAGTCTTGAAATATAAACCGTCGGCGCCCTCCAGTTCCGTTCTAGGCCTCTCAAGACAACCAAAAGTTACAAAACACAGCAAAGGGAACGATATTTTACCAACCTCAGCTCTGGAATTCTCTCAAGCCCAGTTCCGAAGCCAGCCAGCCACCTCGAGATCGAGCCATAAAAAAAAAATTTAAAAAAAAAAAAAAAAAAAAGCGCCACTCGAACCCGCCAACAATAATGCAGCCCATTGCCATCTTTGGAATTCTGCTGCTTTTCTCTTCGCAAGCACAGGCCGCACCATCGTCGCTCCACTCTCACCTCCAGCGCCACAGAGAACGCGCCGCAACACACGCTCACTTGAGCCATCAACACGCAAAGTTAAACAAGAAAGTCGAGCCCGAGCCAGAAGCAATGAAGACTTTCAGAGACATCGTGCCACTATTTCAAAACCTCATTGACACGGACAAGCCATCAGCACCGTCGCCGTACGTTGAATCGACAGTGACGCCTCCTTCTCCTCCAGCAAAGCACGATGGTGCATCAGACCATGTCGACTCAGACTCCGACGACTCACAACTACGGGTGGTGAGGACGAATTCAGTCCGCAAGCAAACGTTACCCGACCGGGCCAAGCTGGCGGCAATGGGTCGAGGGCAAAGCCGCGTGAGGTCGGTGGCGGATGTGATTGACAGCCGGCACGCTGACTCTGCGATGCGATTGCTGCGTGCTCACGCTGTTGTCAAGCATAACAGATTTCAGCGTGAGATTTGAGAGAGAGAGAGAGAGAGAGAGAGAGAGAGAATCTGATTTCGAATGCTTCTATCTAGATTTGGCTTTGAGTCGGACTTTGACAGTCATGGTCCTGGCGGCTGTTGACTAAGCTACCTGGTAGTTGGTGTGCGGAAATGATGAGATGAAGAACCAAACCCGCCGCGGGATCGGCGGGACGCGCGACGATAGCTCGACGATAGATAGGATAGGGCTGGCGATATTTTTAGAATGCAGAATATACCACTTTTTGTTTTTATTCGCCTAGACGCTTGTCTTGATCTTCGAGTGCCTTGCTTGATGTTGATCGTCAACGACGCGAAAAACCTGTTCTACTTGTTCGAAAAGAATTGGACACTGAAATGCGATTGTCGGTGATTGCGTCAGGTATGGGGATGAAGTTCTCCATTTTGTGCAGGGAAAGCTGGCAGTCTGTTGTCGAAACTGTGTCAGCAGCGCTCCCGCATCCCTGTTAGCACCGAGTAACAGCAGGCTTGCGGATTTCTCTTGGAGACAATAGTCGTCTCGCCAGCGGTTCTCAGTCTGAAGCGGCTAAAGAAACGTTGGCGGTTCGAGATATCCTCCCTTTCGTTATGACGGCGTGCTGATCAACTTCGGATTGCTTGGCACTTTGACAGCCATGTCGTCTTGAGGCAGGCGGTCGCAGGATGATTGTGCAGATTGACAACTGGCAGCTTGTCACGGTGATTTGTAAGGCTCAGGCGGCGAAAAGACGACATGTGTTTTGTTTCGAATCGAGTCAAGCCGTCCCGTCATGTTTCCTCTGCGCACGGAGAACGGGCCCGCGATCTATCAGGGTGACGATCACCCGAGCCGTGTTGGCAATTGAGGAACACTGTTTCCTGGCTGCGGTCTTGCTATGTAATTGACAGTTTACATAATCGGTGCACACAGTCTTTCCCGGTCCCACTGATTGGTGAATAAAGCCGGAGCTCCACCGAAGCTGAGGTAACCACAGATGGCGATGGGTGATGTGCAGATACGGGGGGGGTTCGAGGTACTTTAATCTTGGCGCGCTCAATGTGGCCCGGATATTTTCCGTCGCGGTTTGGCTTCGGGGATCGGCCCAGTGGGTAGATGCAGCTTCCCCAGGAAGCCAGCAAAGCAGCCAGCCCATTTCCGAGGTAGTGTCGACCTGGCTCCTACTCGCTTGACACCGTTGCACATCGCGTATATTCTACCTGCCTCGCCTGCCCAGCCTGCCAGCTCACTTGCCTTCCCTTGACAGCACCCAGTCGTTAGTCACGGGAGCCGAATTGTCGATCCCACTTCGACCTAGCTCACCTACCATCTCCTTCATCCCCTTTTGACACTTCTCGACTTCACGATAGCAGCGCGCGACGCCTACAACCACGCACCCCTTTTCCGACACCAGACAATCTACAAACACTAGGCCTTTACTTGCGATAACCAACGAGCCTTTACAGCCCTTGCGCCGGCACTGGGGAACTTACTCTAGTCCATTAACCTGTCGTATCCCCGGCTTCGAAACGTCCTGTTCAAAGCGCCCAATTACTGGGGAAGCTCCGGTACGCTTGGGCTTCTGCTTCGTTACACAAAAGGGAGCATCATATCGACAGCCATTCCTCGATTTTGATCCCGTCCACTGTCGACTCCTTGCCAGCGTGGCATTTCCCGACAAAGCCTAACAAGGGACGCAACGCCTGTTGTACCATCCTGCCGCTCGGCATTCAAGTGTTTGCGACGTTTCCTGAGGGCCACCTCAATACCGATTTTTCCGATTCCGTTTCCACGTCGCATCTACATACCCTTGCAATTTGTCGGCCGTTTCGCGACACCAAATCCTCGAGATGCCTTCGCAACGGCAGTTGCGCACCCTTCTTGTGGGTGTGCTGATTGGTGTCGTTTTCGTCCTTTTCTACACATCTTCCTTGCGAGCGAACGAGGTCAAGGACGAGCGGACCATTCAAGATTTCTACCACAAGACGGTCAATGGGTTGAAACACAAACAACCGCCGGTTCAGGCGGTACTAGAAGGGAATAAGCCCAAGGCAGCTGGCCACGTGCCTGTTGACAAAGATGCCGATGGCGACGTTGACGCCGACGACGAGAAGCTTGCCAAGGATATGCAAGGACGCCTAAAGGCTGCCGAAGACAAGGCCAAGGAACTTGCCAACAAGAAATCACCTCTGAAGCCTGATGCGCCCAGCGACGTCGTCGGAAAGGGCAACTCTGCTGCTGGACAGAAGAAGAAGGAAAAGACGGCCAAGGGCAAAGAAGTTACCGAAGGTGACGAAGAGGAGAAGAATGACGAGAGCGACGAGGAGCATGCTGTTGAGGTTGAGCTGAACACCATCTTGAAGAAGTCGCCAGGTATGTTGACGTCAAGACTCCCGCAACGAATGCCAGCTAACCCAGCCAAGTCATCATCTTTTCCAAGTCTTACTGCCCTTACTCGAAGAAGGCCAAGGCATTGTTGCTCGAAAAGTACTCGATCGAACCTACACCATACGTCGTCGAACTGGATAAACACCCTCTTGGCCCTCAGCTGCAGGCATTCCTCGGCGAGAAGACTGGTCGAAAGACTGTCCCCAACATCTTGGTAAATAGCGTGAGCATAGGTGGAGGCGACGATATCATCGAGCTTGACGACCAGAAGAAGCTGGTACCCAGGATCGTTGATCTTGGGCAGAAGAAGGTGGAGATGAAGGAACGGTCTGCCAACAGCCAGAAGAACAACTAGTCCTCTTGAGCCGTTCGCATTTCATTTCTACATTTGCTCGACTTCCACCATACGGCATCATCGTCGCGTAGGCGAAGCGGGCACTACCTAGGGGACGACGGGAATTCGAACTGGTGGTGGGTACCCCAGTGGTGGTGGACGGACATTGCATATTTTGGCGTTGGGGATCGGTTGAACTCGTGCGCCCTCTGCGGCGAGGACTCAGGGCGGCGATATGGGCTTTTGCCTACGCCTGGATGTTGGACGAAGTGCACTGCAGGCATCTGCGCAAGCCCCGTAATGATGAGGGACGTGTATGAGTAGTGTGGTTGAAGATGGTGCGGCGACGCCGGCAACCTGGCATCACCTCAATGTGTGGTTGTGTATATACACGCAAGTGGCTCGCTGTCAGCTAGTGCCCTAGTATCGTGTGCTTCTGGACTATGATCCATTCGGCAACAGGCCGTTATCATGTTGCTCCTTCTGTAGGAATAATTGTCATGTGGCCACGCACCTATGTCAAGATTGCGAACAGATCTCTTTGGCCCATTACCCCGCCAATATTGTTTGAGGTCGGCATCATCATATCTAGTCTGTACGGGGCGAAGTCGAAACCCTCACAGGAATCAGAAGCGCGACTCGCTTTGAGTTTGATTGGGGTCCCTTCCCTCTGACTATCAGCAAAGGCCGTTTAACGAACAAAGATGACCACTCTTTTTTTTTTTTTTTTTTTTTTTTTTTTTTCATCTTTGGGATGACACCAGCCTTATTATCTTCTTTGAGTGCAGATTGACTGTTCTCGTCAAAAGCCATCACTGAGGGACAGGGGTTGAATCGTGAGAGAGGGGCTACCAGTGCCCCTCCTTTCCTCCTTGCGCAACTGTCACGATGCGCCTCATGTGTCTTGGCCAGACCAACCAGGTTACATACTGCACCAGTTTCCAAGATGGGTTCATTCCATGGATCAAAATACCGCACTACTGTATTGCTCTTTTTGATGATCTCTGACACCATTTTTTTTTTTGGACTTGGACAAAATCTGGGGCGGAGTGCGACAGCTGTGTCGTCAAGTGAGGACCTGGATGGCCTATCGCGCCGCGCGCGATGTCGTTGAAGGACAGCCGGGTGCGCACTTCACTTGTACTTGCGATGCTATATTTCCGTTGCTTGGTCTCTTTTGTGTTCATCTCAACTACTCAACTCTCGAATTGAAATCTTTCAGATTATTGGGTGTGAATTGTGAATCACTGCTCTTGTCAACCATCTCATCACATCCTTATTCAGAGGTGATTCAGGACGTACTCAGCCCTGCATACTTACACAACTGGCCTACCTCCTACAACCATCACCGCATCACGAACTCGGTTTTTATAGAACATTACATCGAGTCACTTCTACTTCAATTTCTTGCATTTACTCCCACATATCTACTATTCACATACTCTGGCGCAAGTCTAAACACCAGAACAGTCGAGGTTGGTAGTACAGCTTGAGGCAGCAAGAGCGACGGAGTCAGAAGATCCAAGAGCGACACTGGCTCACTTCCTGCTACCTACTCGTACAGCCACACATCTCAGAGGGCAATCGCAGGCCGATCGAGGTTGATTGGGAAACATCCCTGTTCATCCAACTGCGTTTTGTACAACCTCTACTACAACACCTTACTACCATCTAAATCTTGGATACAATGTCTTCACTCTTACCCGGTCACCTTCTCCTCCTTGTAGCAGAGCATGCAGACTTTGCCCAGATACAGGCTCTCCGAGCAACCTGCAAGAGCAACCGGGCCCTGCTGGACAGCTACCAGCACACCGTAACAAGGCTCAACGCCGCCCGCTACCCCTGCGCACCATGTAACCACATCCTCGCCTCCGACACCCGCGAGCGAGAGGTGCTGCCAAAAGACACCTTTGATACCATCCGAGAGCTAGAGACTCGGCACCGGCACATTGAGGAGATTATCCACGGCGCATACCTAGCCTTCTGGGAAGAGTACGGGCTCCAGGATGCGACAAAAGCAGACACGATCCGCTCAAATCTAAAGAGAGCACTCTGGCAATGCTCGACAATCGCCGACTTGGAGACACACTCAATACGGTACAGGGACGACATCATACCCCGCCGCGACCCCTGCGTCAAGTCTCTGATCCATCAAGAGATCATCCTCCACGACGCCCCGCCCCCCGACGGCTGGCACCTGGCCCTCAGGGAAGTCCACGAGTCCAACCGCCAGGACGTGCGGTTCCGCCAAATCGCCCACGTCCGCGGCCTCCCCGTCGACGAGCTCGCGGGCATAGTAGTCCTCGCGCACCTCGCTAGTCAAGGGTACCGAAGAGACAGGGCGCCCACGACCAACGGGCTAGGCCGGCCCGAGATTATCGAGATGGGCGTCTGCATGGCGGAGAACACGATCCGGCACGGCGTGTTTTTCTTGTATAGTAAAGTAGCGGGCGACGAGGACGGGCGGCACCACGCGAGGTTGCTGTTGGACGATACCTTTGACGAGATGCGAAGGTGGGAGGCCGGGGATCCTAGTGTGCTTCCTGGGTTGACGATGAGCGTTGCGTCTACGTTTTGTGAGATGGTGGGTTGTGAGCATCGGGATATGTTGGATGCTGCGTGTACGTTGTTGAGGGGGGATGTGTGGCGTCCGGCGGAGGAGGGGGAGGACGAGGTTGAGGCTGAGGGTGAGAGGGAGAAGCCTTCTGGGGAGGAGGTTGAGCAGGATGGTGGTGTGATGGAGGGAGGGGCCGAGGAGCAGGTCTCGTGAGGGGCTACCTGGGATAGGATACATTGGATACTTATGAATGCATGATGACCCTAAAGAAGTTTGCTCTGAAGATTGCTGGACCTCATTCGTCTGTCTCTACCTTGTGTCTTCTCTTTCTCTTTCTCTGCCCATGCCTGACGTATAGCAGGAAGAAGGCTGTGGAAATGAAGAAGGAGAGCGAGATTCGATGGCGAAGAGTGAATCACAAAGGCGTTGTACACTTCAATATACTGGGCCACCATCATCGAGTATCACACTGGACCCCTTTTGATGAATCCAGGTCTTTCGACCTCTTGTGATATTTGGGGGTGTTATACCGAGTAATTGACGAAATCTCCAGATGCTCTAGGGGACGATGAGAACGTTTGTTCCTGCACGAAAAGCCTGGTTTAGTTTTCTTTTTCTGGTGGTCAACCATATTCTGATGGCATGTATCTAGAGATGTAGAGGTGTGTTCCGATAGGAACTGGGTAACACGAGATCCCTGGATCTGCGAGAAGAGGAGGACGGGGGATCCAGGACTTTTACGTCCTCACAGCAACAGTAGTAAGAGCTCGAAGCTTGACTATTGAGGCGAGAAGTCGCAAGACTGCGTTTTGACGGTACTGTGGCTCGAGAAGTCCCAGAGTCCTAAGAGGACAAGGATGTGTCCAAGAGATACTATTCGAAGTTGGGAGCGGATCGCCGTGAAAGCCTCCAAAGCTACCTTTACTCTGCGGCCTTTAAGTCTGCCCATATTGCAGAATTTCGACCCGCAAAACACCACTCACGAGGTTGAACATCGATTCTTTGATACTCTCTTGACGCCGCCCCCTCTTGTTATGGATCTCATTAGACCCCGTCACTTGAAACCCCGTCAAATTCCAGTAAAGCTGTGTTATCTGGGAGGAACCAGATTTCACTTAGGCAGACGTCACGGAAGCCTGAGGACACTCCACCCCGGCCGGCTACATCCCGTCGAAGCATAATGGTAGCCTGGCCCCGATGGTACGGCAGCCGCCTACGTAGCATGTAGGACTACAGTCAACAGAGGAGTCACGGGTTTCAGCCCAGGAAGTGGGCCTCATGTATGGGTAAGACGGGTCTCTGTTCGGGAAGCCAAGCCGGTAGGAAGGGGGGGGAGGCTTAGCCTGCCGAGGGACTCGGAGAGATCGTATGGGAAGAAAAGCTTCTTTCTTAGGGTATTTTGAGGATGTGCAGAGCCGCGTGTGTGACGACGATTGCTTCGAGTTGGATGACTACTTACCTTACATGGGTGTTCATCTTTGTGAGGGACGACGGGAGTTTGATGGGGGTGCCAACGGGGGATTTGTAGGACTTGTGACACGTCGTTCATCCGTCTCGAGCAAAGATCTTTTGCTAAAGGTTTTTTTTTTTCTTCCTGGCTTTACTGGGCGAGGATGGAGTGCTTACTTTTGGATTCCCAGTGTAGGACCATCATGACTGGGGAATGCAGGACTTTTCTCACAGCCGTGTTTTGGTGGAGTATCTGCCTGACGCGGACGTTGTATCCGTACTGAGTACCTACTGTAAGGTAGGCTGCGACATTATGGGAGAACCGGGCGAACTCATTTGGGTATGGTGGTGTGTAAGGGTGAAGAGTCATCGGGAAAGTCCCTTATGCAGTATTACCCATTCGTAGTACAGCATTCCGCACTAGGGCTGATTGGGACCCGGGGTACGCATACCGGCCGGTATGCGTACAGAGGAAACGTCATTGTTCCCCCGTATTACTGCTGATCCGATTGATCGTTTCTGTTCCTGGCTCGCCGAAGATCAAATGAAGTTTACCATCGTGGGTAAGCCATAACACAAGGTAGAAACGGGGTCGGGTCCTAGACTTGTATTACGTAGTGGAGAGTCATTCCTAAACAGGGCAGATTAAACGCCATATTTTTTTAATAGTGTCTTGTGTGTTTCTGTAACGAATGGCGGGCGGTTGGGTGGCTCACGACTGGGGAAAAAAAATCTCACCAGCGGCGAGATCTTCTCACTGTAGGTAGTCCTGACTGAGAGTCTGTGACGCTCTCTCTACCACGTCTACCAAAAGGTAGGTATCCACAGCCGACGGTGGTTGCATCTTGCCGTCTTACATCGTAACAACCCGACGTTACGAGTCCTATTGTCCTAGGGGTAGGTATTCGTACGACGGAAATTCCTACGCTAGAGTTGCTGTGGTTGTCTGGTGCCTGTTGGTTTGCGTAGCCTGTAGGCAGGGGAGGGGGGGCCTTGAATCTGACGCTTATTTCGCCGGTAGCGGTGCCGGGGAAAATCTCAATTTCTGTATGTATCCATAGAGTTCGAATAGGTATCTGCAAGTTAATTAGGTATGACATTGACGTCGTAAAGTGACTGCGTTGCGTAGTCACTATGAGTCTATGAGTCTATTTAGTATCCACAGCAATTGCAGTGTAAGTGTGACCTAGTGCGAAAGCGAAATAGAGACGCGGAATTTCCACGACAAAATGCGCAGGAAAGCCTCAATCAATGGTGGTTGAGATGGTGCGTCTGCCAACTGCCCGATGGCTTGGGGCTGAGTTGAACGGAGGGTTCGCCAAGATGCCAAAGTGGCATTTTGGTTTCGCAATAATTAGAACGAAATGAAAAAGGAAAACAAACTTTTACACAGCTTGTCAGTTATTGCGACGATCGGATGAATGAGATTTTCTCCTCTTTCCTTGCCTCGCATTGAATTGATTTTCGATTGCCGCCTTGCCGCCCTGCCGCCCGTAGAAGGAACTTTGCCCGGCCAAGGCACGCCGTGATGCTCTTGTGATCCATGCGAGGGAGTATGGCGAAGCAAGTCGGATGCAGGCGGACGCATGTCAGGGTTGAGACTTGCGCCAAGTGACTCACGGCCGAAGTATATCGAAAAAGGAGAATTAGAATGACACTGCCGAAAATGCTGGGCAACTGGCAAGCAGTTAGTGTACATACGCAGGGAGACGACGATGAGAGTAAGCTTCGAGGCTACCGCTAGAGGATTCAGGATAGAGGGGGCAGTTTGACGCATTGACAAACTGACGCGAACCGGCGTATGTCTTGCTGTAGTCTTACTTACCTGTTGAGGTTTAGCCGTCAATGGCAGATATCGGCCACCAAAAACGTGAATATGACGGTGTAAGGGAGGGGGGCGAAAGAGGTTAAGGTCAATAAGCTTCCCATCACACGCCCACGCAAGCCCAGTTGTTGGTTACTGTGTATCATGACGGACTGGCGCCGCTGCACCGGGCATCCTGGACGTGGAAGCTACCGTCTACGCAATGGTGTGGATGCCCGCCCTTGATCAGTTCCGGGGGCCTGGTTGGATGCCTTGGGATAGGACCAGGGAGGGGGGGAGCGGAATCTGGGAGGATGCGTGTGCTGCGTGTGCAAGTTGCGCGCGTGTGTGTGTGTGTGTGTGTGTGTGTGTGTGTGTGTGTGAGTGCGTGTGCTGCGATGCGTGGATGATGGGACGGGATGGCTTGGGTTGGGACGAGAGATGGTCGGATTGGAAAAGAGGGGGGAAGATGCTTGTTCAGTTTTCTGCGCCTGTTTTGTTAGGCCCCAAACCACGCCGTTGGCTTTTGCTTGGAATAGATGACCTGAGTCCTACGAAAAGAGTACTTGGATACTTTGATACTTGCGGATAGAGGATAGAGGATGCAGGATACAGTGACATTCCGTGCCATGGCATTTGGGGGCGGTGCATCGCTTCGTTTTGGAAAACACATACGGAGTATATAGAGGATGCCACGCCCAGCCAACCTACCAACGCTTGATCTTGGCCTGCGTCAGCAATCAATCAGCCTTTCTACTACCGTCCATCAATCAAACACTAGCAAACTACAAGAAGCTACCCATCACCATATTCACCAACCACGATACATTCTCAATCTACTCTCGATAACAACACCACCGCCAAAATCACCATCAACCACACGACTACCATCCATCAACCCCAAACCGCAACCATGGCCAAAGCAACATACGCACCCTCCACCTTCTCCGAGACCTCAACCATCTGCTCCTTCGAAAAGGACCCCGCCGAGACAGCAGCACCCGCCGTCAAGGAACGCCGCTCCCTCCGATCAAGAGTCAAGAGGGCCCTCCGCGAGGTCGGAAACCCGCCCACCTATCGCTATGATCTCGAGCACGGCATCGAGACCAAGAGAACGGTCCCCGTCGGTCCCATGGGTTTCAACGTCCTCAACCAGCCCTCGCGCATGTAAAAAAAAAAAACAACAAAAAAAAACCCCTTTTGCTGCTTTTCAAACGTGTTGTGCTTTGCGATAAAGCGATAAGCGAACGTGCGAGATGATTTTAAAATAAACAGACGAACTTGCTGTTTACGGATAAACGATTTTTTTTTCATGGACGCCATGAACGGATATACCAAATGGCGCAACGGAGTTGGGAATCTTTATGGGGGTTCCCCCTCGCGGGGGGGCCCTGATGGGCTTTTTCCTTGCGATTTTTACCAACTTTTTGTTTCACTCCTTCTTCGGCATGCAATAGGGGAACGAAAAAAAAACACAAACAAAGGTCACGTCTCTGTGTGTGTGTTTTTCTGATGATTTTTTTTGATCTATTGCAGCCTGTTCGCTGGGCGATTCGGTTTCGGCAGAGACGGACCTTGGGGAGAATGGAGGTGCCGTAAGGAGAGATGGACTTGTGAATCCAGCTGAGGGGAGAGGAGAGGAGAGCTTGAGGTTGCCTTTGTTCCCGTCCGCTCTAAAGGAGGGGAAGGGGAGGCGCCAATGGCTCTCGCGCCTGGTTGGGTTTAGGGAGTTTGGGAGTTTGGGAGAGTGATGGCGGGAATATGGGGAGCAAGCCATCGTCTTACGGGCTGCCACACTCCAAGGATTGGGTCGACACCTACGCTCAGCTTTTTCTTTTGCATTTGATAAATCAAGGGGGGGGGTTGAAGGGGATTTGAAGAGATGTCACCGGTTCTAGACGGGGACATGGATCTTGATAGAGCAATATCACGATCTCCCTCTATGCCGACCGAATTTGCTAATCTTTCGCGTGAAAATTGAGTGACTTTAGCAGCGACGATTCGTATCGACTGCTTCTCTACCTAGACTAGTCCGAATAACCTAGTGCCTAGTCATAGGCGCGACTCGACTCGGCGTCTCGATAGACTGACTACGCGCGCGCGCAAGGTATCAGCTGCCCGGTCAGGCGAAGCGACATAATATAAGAGACCTTCTACGAGAACTGAAGAGGAACGGAAGCGGAAGCTGGTCCCCATTTTTTGCCGACAGACCGAGAGAGCACCGGGGATTTAGTGGATCTGGCCGGGATGACGGGACCGGAAGCTGCATTTTCCTTTCCACACGGCACAATACACTCGGTCTGGCATAGTATCACTACTTTCTGAAGCATATAATTCCGTTTTTCTCTGCAATGTATCTCGCTCAGTCTGAAACTTCGTCAACAAACACACTTGGCATGGCAAAGTACGTAAGTAAGGTACTCGAAATGAAGCAACAGAATCGAGAATTGCCAGCATGACGTAACCATGAGACTCATTTAAGTAATTGTTCAGTTGCACACAGCACTGCCATAACTCAAAGCTTCTGAAACACGTCTGCCTTTTTCGAGAAGGCTCTCATTCAGGGCAGAAAGTATTAGGGACTGGATCGGACGACGAAAGGGGGGACGGGAATAGTAACGGGTTGCAGGGAAGCGGGGGGCACAGCCCATCCCTTCTCCAGTCATCTGGCTTAGAAATCACGACATCAAACCACCACAACCGGGGCCGAACTCCCTTGCGCCAAGCTTATTCAGCATCCCGTGTCCGTGGTGATTTTTTGGCTTGAAATGCAAGCTGAGTCTTGTTTGGTTTTGACGATCGGTTTTTCGTTGGGAGTTGGTAGTTGGTAGTTGGTGGTGGGGAGATGTAAAGACTGAGTACAAAATGGGATTGGATTTCTCGTCTTTGGGTGTGTTGGTGTCCTTCATTGTACAGTTTCCTTCCTTTTTTTTAGCCATCGTCAGACTCACTTGAACGTGTCGCACTTCAAATCTTCTCATCACAACATCGTTCTGTCATAAGCCGTACCTTGGAGAAGAAAACGCAACAATGGTAACCATCCCCCAAACCCACAAGGCCGTCGCCACACCCGCCAAACGCGCGCCCCTCATCCTCCTCGACCGCGAGACAAAACCCCCAGGGCCGGGCGAAGTCCTCATCCTCAACGAATGGACCGCCTCCAGCCCGCTCGACCTCCACCGCGCCGACGGCGGCCTCCTCTGCAACCACCCGGAAGTCATGGGCGGCGGCGCAGCAGGGACCGTCGTCGCCGTAGGCCCCGACCCGGACCCGGCGGACGCCGAACGGCTGAAGCTGGGGGACAAGATCTTTACGTTTGCGTTTCATCATTTTAGCGAGCGCGCGCATCAGGATTTCGCGACGGTGCCGGGATACTTGGTCTCCAAGCTGCCCGCGAACGTGACGCCGCAGGAGGCGGCGACGGTGCCGACGAATTTGATTACCGTGTTCCACGCCGCGACGGCGGATTTGGGGTTGGAGCTGCCGTGGCCTAGGCCCGAGGGGGCAGAAGCATGGGTCCCGCGCGCGAGGGATGATGCTGTGCTTGTTTGGGGTGCCGCGAGTAGTGTGGGCGTGTATGCGGTGCAGGTGTTGCGGCACTGGGGGTATCGGAACGTCCTGGCCGTGGCGAGCGAGAAGCATCACGCGCAGCTGAGGGCGATGGGCGCGCGGGAGACGTTTAGTTACCGGGATGCGGATGTTGTGGAGAAGATTCTGGGGGCTGTTGGTGAAGAGGGCGTGCCGTTTGTGTTGGATTGTATCGGTTCCGTCGAGGGCACGCTGAGGCCGTTGACGAAGATTGCGGGGAAGGGGACCAAGGTTGCTGTCATGTTGCCTGTGATTGTGCGGGATGCGACGGAGGAGGTTGAACCCGAGTATGAGATGGAGGTGAAGAATGTGTTGGTTGGGGAGTGGGCTGATGGTGTTGAGCTCCGGGGGGTGAGGACGCATTTCTACCTGGAGGTGAGTTTTGGATTCTTCTTTTCTTTACAAATTTTTTTTTTTTTTCCTATGATCGAGCACTTACGCTGCCCTGACATGAGATGAGAAAAAGCTGACGTCCTGGTAAGCAGAATGAGTTCTTCAAGGAAAAGATGCAGAGAGAGATTGTGCCGACGCTCCTGGAGCAGGGCATCATCAAGCCCAACAAGCAAAAGGCTGTCGAGGGCGCCACCATGCTGGAACGGGCGCAAAAAGCGATTGAGTTGCTGAGGAAGAGAGATCCCAGCGGTGAGCGTTTGGTCTGGAGGGTTTCGGATCTAGATCTGAAGCTGTGAGGTGGTTGCGTTGGTCGTTAGCCGCTAGGTATGCAACGAGTGCGAATATCACTCAACTGGCCCACGCCTAGAAAAAGAAGGATCATATCCATAGTAGAAAGAATAGAGGTCTTTAAATGCTTTTTGTGACTTTGTTCCTGCTTTTGTAATCTGCCGACCATCTGCTGAAAGAAGCTCAAAACTCCAACCGTGGGATGCCTCCTGACCAAAAACAAAACGCCGATGAGTGGTCGATTCCTCCGCTGCGTCGTCTCTTTTGCCACTCGGATATGTATGTCAAGTTTCCTCCGCAATACACACACTCTCTTCTTCATGGAATCCTCACCGAGTGCCAAACTACCCACTTTCTTTATTCCTTGCGACCCTTCTTGGGCTTCTCCTCCGCCGCATTGCCCTTCTCCCCCTCGTCCTCGCTCGCAACATCCCTGCTGCGCTTCAGACCCTTCATCTTGCGCGTCTGCAGCTCGCCCAAGTCCTGGCGGCCGACGTGCACGCGACCCATCTTGTCACCCATGGCGTCCGTCGTGATGTTCTTCTTGGTGCGCTCCTCGGTGCCGCGGGGCTTCTTCATGGCCTCCTTGAGCATGCCCTCCTCGGGCTCGCGCACGCGGCCGACGCGGAAGTCCATCCGGGGCCCAATCTCGTTGACCTCGACGCGGGGCACCTTGGAACCGCTGCGCTTGGTGGTGATGGTGTAGGCGCGGAGGCGGATGGCGGGCTTGGTGGCGTCGTCCGAGGGCTCGTCGGCCGTGATGGAGACGATCCACTGCAGGCCCTCGACGTCGATCTTGTCCGTGGGCTCGCCGCGGAAGAAGTCGGCGAAGAAGGACTTTGCGTGGGTGTACTCGTTGGCGATGGGGCTGTCCCAGGCGGTGCCGGCGAACGTGAGCATGGGCTTGAGGCCGATGGGCACCTTTTTGCCCTTGAACTGGGCGAGGGTGCGGAAGGTGTCCGGGTCGAGGTAGAGCTCGAGCATGTCAAAGACCTTGTAGCTAAAGGTGCGGACGAGGGTGAGGGCGTGGGGCCTCTTCTTGGAGGTGTGGCCAAAGACGAGGATGGAGGCGTCGTTCTTTTCCGAGAAGAACTCGAGCGAGTCGGCGTTGTCAAAGGGGTGGATGTCGTTCTTCTTTACGAAGCGCTTGGCGAGCGGCTGGCGCATCTGGTAGAGCTCGTTGATGGCATCTTGTGTCACTTGCGAGCATGAGCTTCCGCGGAGGAACAGCGCCGTCTTGGGGTTTTCTCTATTTCAAAGGGGATGCTGAATTAGCTTGCGATCATGGCGAAAGTCGATCGTCGGGATGGAGGAACGTACTGGGCCTTGGGCTCGCGCTTCTCGAGCGCACGCTTGGAGCGAGCATTACGGGGTTTTCTGTTGGTAATTGGTCAGCTACTAGTCGGCATGGCTATATTTTGCGGTTTCCGCGACTCACATTTGACGAAGCATTGTGCCGGTGGTCGAATTTGTCGTCCGTCGGGTTTGATGCAGATGGCTGGGATGCGAACTGATCTCAATTCTGCGGTAAAGTTGAAGCCGCCGTCAAAAAAAATTGCTTATCGTTATCGCCAGGATGCTTAATCTTATCTTATCACCCCGCGACCTCTGAGGTAAGGTACTGATCCCAGAAAGCGGCCAGCTGGTTCCATCTGTCGAAACTGAGAAGCTCAGCTCTGACGTTCCTCATCACCCCAACGTCATCAAAATACACTGCCGGTTCATATTATCCTCCGCGACACGTCCACACCCAGTATCACCCACCCATCACAGATCCAGCTCACTACCAAACTACCACCATCATGGGCCACAAACAGCATGATACGCCCAAAAAGGCACGATTACGTGGTGCCTACACTTTTCTCACTGAACATGGCTACAAATTCAAGAAATTGGACCTATATGAGTTCTTCGACATCAGCGAGCGGACAGGTCGCGAGTATCTGAGGGACCCGTATGGGTGCGACCGTACGCGCCACAACAACCCGGATCTCCCAGAGACGCGCGGGCGGAAGCGGAAAGTCGTCGACGAAGACGCTGTCGACAAAGATGGAAAGCCTTTGAAGAGGAGGCAGAGAAACCCCGCAAAGAAGAATAATTCACGAAAGAAAACAGGGGCAGTGAAGGCTCCTACGCGCGCCTCGGAGAAAGAACCCAGCGGTAATCCGCCGGCAAACGAATTACCACAGGCAGTACCACATGCAGTCGATCAACTGCCTGGCCTTTCTCAACCTGGCCCATCCCAAGCTCAAACCGTTCCCTCTGGCAGCTATATCAACTCTTACACCTCTAGCGTATTCCTCAATGTGGAGGGAGGACCTCCGTACACGTTCTATGGAGATCAACCCGGCCAAGGTCGTTATTAAATGCCAAGTACACTTTCTGGTGATGGTTTGACATCATGTACTGAGTGTGCTTACATGCAACATCTCATACGATTTCATCAAAGTCGTTATCATATTACTCTCAAGATGAACCATCTATACACAACCCCAGACAATAATTCGGGAAAAACTTTCGCCAATGTCCGGAGAAGCGTTAGGGAACAACACAAATTCACAATGTTGACCGGAAGGAACGAGAGATCTTGGGACATGATCAGCTTTGCCGCTCGCCTGTGGAGTTCTTCTAGAGCAAACAGCCTCAATGGCCACTGGTCTTTCAACAACAACTAGTCTTGCTGCACGTCGATGGCACCGTTCGTCATGGTCCCCTGAGTTGGTCGGGGGCGGAATGGCCACTCGCACTCGAATTCAACCATGTCAATCGTCTCCACCACTTTTTAATCGTCAGTAAACTCCCATCTCCAAATAGAATGTCATGTCTCCATATACTTACATGTCACAAACAGATCGCGCATACGTTTCTGGTACCACCAGCCTCCGAAGCTTATGACTGCCACAAACACCATCGCGCCGATGGCAACTGGCTTCCAGTACGCTGCTAAGTGTTAGCCATGGGCTGCCTGTGGGACTCAAAAACTTCAACCACATAAAACATGGGTGGGCTCTTACTAGTCGCAGACTCAATCATCTCCCGGCTGTTTACTGATAGCATAACCGGCGGCCGCCTTTCTTTCGGTTCCAACCAATGATGTGCATTGATGAAGCATATGTTGGTGCGGTACACACCTATGATTTGCATCAAGGTCCCACCCAGGCTGACGAGCACGGCGCACAGTCCGAACATAAATTGCAGTGAGTAGTACAACAAGTACCACAGCCAGAACCGGTTTTTGTATAGAACCTCGGATCCTGGCTTTGTGATATGCCTTTGTAAAAGTAAGGATTTGGACTTATATTTGGAATCGCAATCGGGACTAGAACTGGTCGATGGCGGGTCTACATACCATGGCGCTCGAGAAGGATCATAGAAACCTCGGAGATCGAGCCAACCACCCTTTTCAAACACGCCTCGTATTTTGGTGGCGTATTTGTATGAGTTGCGAGCGCTGTCTACGTCTCTGGAGTGTCTGAAGATGATGTTGTTATTGTTGTCTGGAGGGCTGCTATGAGCCCAAAGCCAGAGGCCGATTTATCCAAGTTGGAGACAAAAGTAAACCAGACATGTTATGGAGCGACGTGAAAGCCCTACCTGCGGCGTAAAGAAGGCTAACATGAACGCGAACAAGTAGGGTATACCGACGAGCAGTAAGGTGATAGAGAGTAGAACGAACCAGTGATGGGGCGATAAAGTGGTAGTATAATACAATTCTCTCATGTCGTCATCGAAACACTCGTGGCCAAGGAACTTTACATCGGTCGTTCTGCCATAAACAGTAAGAAGCTTCATGATCCACCGTCTCTTATTTGGGCCGCGCTGCCATTGCCAAGCCGCTTTATAGCAACTAGCGTAGACAAGATCGAATCGCAAGAAGCCGAAGAGGTACCTAGGATCCTCCGCATGTTCATGATGGTGCTCTGTTGTTAGGATGTCCTGGGCGACGTTTGGGTTGTTGCCTGCAAGTAGTAGACCACAGGTGATAGCAATGTGAGGAATGATCTGGTAAATGTTAATCAACGGACTTCGGCCAGGAGCTGATAACACTACCATGTACCAAGAGCCAAAGGCGATCGAGTGACTAGATCATAGAGTAAAGCCTCCATGTCATGCCAAGGAGATGCCATCAGACGGCTTGTGAATCGGCGTGACACCCTTTGTGTCAAGGGGCCATTCGTCGCATTTGGCCGAACGGGAGAGCTCTGTCTACCGCTCTGAGCTTGCATCTCCAGACTGGCGGACGTTGTAATTGTGGATTCTACATCTCTTGGACAGACAAGGGAAGAAGGTAGAGCGATACCTAGGTTTTTGATCAGTATCAACATAAGACAACGGCATCGCATGTCGAGCGTCAATCTTTTGTTAAAGACTCGAGACTGCAGAAACTCTAAGACTCGGCTGTCCAGGAATGCCTCGTGAAGACCACTGATAATCATGGGACCGGCGAATGCGAAGCAGACGGAGAGCCATATGATTGTGTCGACTGTGACAGTCAAGCCTGCTAAGACAGCACAAGTGATTAATGGAATAATACTCTTGTAATGCCAAAAATTCAATGTGAAAAAAACACTACGACCGGACTAGAATGATGCATGTGCCATTGAACAAGGTTTCCTTGGGCCTTACCGAGGAAAATGGAGTTTCCGACGCCTTGGCACTTGGAAGCAGAAAGCAACAGCTGGAACTATGCAACTTGAGAGTGAATGTAGCCAGGTGTTCAAGTTAGACGTATCGCTGAGAGACCAGCCAGGACAGTTGTCGCTGAACCATTCGTACTGGACTCGCACCTCGGGCGCGCTACCAAAAAAGCCCTGCGCTTCACATGAACAACTACCAAGCCGCAGAAGCAGAGTCATGGTAGGACTTACATCGTTGTATTTGGCACCGCAGGGAAATCGACCCTTGTCAGCGGCGCTCCGAAGGTCACCGGTCGTCGAGACGCTGATCTTGGTAATCGAATTGTTCGCGATGATCAATGTGCCGTTCGAAAGAAGCTCCAACCCAACTTCGACGGCTTTGAGACAGCACCATGTGTAATTCTGAGCACCAAGGTAGACGTTGCCTGGTTTATCGGGGGCACGGGAATCCAAATCGGCGAGCTGCCAGAAAACATCCGACTTAGCTGTGACATTATGAAAATTGTCTGCCGATCGAGCTGCCACCGCGAAGAGTAGCAGAAACCCCAAAAATACTCTCATTGTTCAAAAAAGTCGTGAACAGCTCGCTGGTATTTCGTACGTAACAGAAGAGAGTCTGACATCGAAACGAGAGGGTGGGAGATCGAGGTTGATAATCACGGTTTGCAAGCCTATTCGGGCGGGGGAAATTTCGCGGGTCAACATGGAGGCCGGGCTGTGCGCGAAATATCAACGGTTCAGCTTCACTTAAGCATACATTCAATAAACGGTCTTGTGTGACGCGATGCTGACCATCCGATAGTATATTCAGGCGGCTACGAAGCAGGTTGCGACGCGCTCCAAGCAAAGGTTGCTGTGAGGCAGCACAAACGGCCAATGGCGTGCAATCTTTCGATAAGAGACGCATGGGATCCGAGTGTGAGAGAAAAAGGATCGAAAAAGGAGACCAATACGGTCTAGAAAAGACAAGTTGTGATTTCTGATTCGGCGTAGGAGGCAATGAGGAGGCTTGGCAGCTACGGTGTAAGATAACAGCCTGTTGCTTTACAATCTGAGTCTTCTTTGTCCGTCATTTCGTTGGCGACAACAGCACGGAGATAAGAAAAGTGGAAAGTAAGACAACGTAATAGCAGGAACGGCCCAACGAAACCTTCCGATGTGGCTTCGGCCCGGCTGGAAGGTAAGACCGGAATTCTAGCTCCACGGAGAGTCCTCGGAGACTTAGTGAGCTTCGGCGATGCACTGACCTGACGGACACGGAGGAGACGCCCGGTCGGCCCACTGTAAGTCGGGGCAACTGGCGTCATTCACCTCACAGTTCCAAGTTGCAGCAACAACCAAAGTCCCATGCCGAACCAGATAGATCGTGCATGAATGAGATTTCTCAGAGCTTCGACTGGCTTTTTCCAAGCAAACGAATGAAGCTCAGTATCTCGAGCTAATCCTGACAAGCCCTAGCGAGCTTACTTCTTCACAGTGGATCACGAAGCGGTAGTGTCCGAAGGATCTGACCTCATGCGTTGACTTCGCTTAATGAGGGATCCCTACCAGCTTTATTCCCAACATTTCCCGTGACTATAAAGTTGGAACAAACCTTGGCCAAGAGACTGTCTGGAAATCTTCCCATTTCGACAAACATTGTCTAGAGTGCATATCTCATCAAGTTCATCATGGGCTTCATCCTCCAAACGAGCATCATCTTCACCGTGATCCTCGGCGTGGCCTTGCAGCTCGTGCTCAAGACCCCCATCTGGCTAGGCCTGGGAATCGGCAAGGAATTCCAGCCTCTCTCCGTTTTCCCCTACTCGTGCCGTCGCATCGAGGACCCCAGGCTGCAGGCATGCGAGGACATGTGGCTGTCCGAGGCCACGCGCCAGCTCTTCCTCGCCTGCTCCGATCCCCTCTCTCGCCAGCAATGGCTACCCAAGTACGTGTTTTTCAAGCGTGCGCGGCCCCCCCCCCCCCTCTCCCGTCTCCGCAACCGCCCCGTCTTTTCATCCCCCGCTCCCCGCTCCCGGGCCGGAGTGTGTGATTCCGGAAAGGCTAACTAACCTCCCCCCGCCCCGGTTTCTAGCGCACAACACATGAACGCCTCGGGTCGCTCCACGCGGGACGCCGTAGTCGCACTGGACATTGACAGCCCCAAGGGTGATGCATTTGAGTACCGCGTTCTCGAGACGCCGGGGTTTACGGGCACCGCCGGCGACGGACTGCTTCAGCTCGTCGGGATAACGGGCATTGACGCACCGGAGGGCCGCAAGGTTGAGATTCTTTTGGTCAACAATGGTCCTTCGGTTGATCCTGTTACTGGTGACCTCCTCGACCAGAAGAGCGTGGGCGCCAACTCGACGATTGAGGTTTTCGAGACGGGCCCGAAGGCGATGGGGATGAAGCACGTCCGCACTTTTGCCAGCGCTAATATCTCGACGCCGAATAATATCGCCGCGTTGTCTAGTGAGGAGTTTTACTTTACGAATGCTAATGGCCCCCACAAAGTCGGACTGGTGAGGAAAAATAACGCAACGTCCTGGAATGAGACAGGTTTACTGATTCACCGTAATTGTAGCAATTCTTCATCGGCCCTCTGATGGTCGACGGCGACGTATCCTTCTGCTCCGCCTCGTCAGGATGCAAGCGCATCTCAGAGCGCCATCGCATGCCCAACGGCCTCGTCCGCGGTCTCGACGGCCTCATCTACGTCCCGAGCTCCATGGCGGGCGGTGTGCAGGTGTTTGAAGTCCTTCCCAACGACAACGGACTGAAAAAGGTGGCCGACATTCCCGTGCCCTATTCGATCGACAACCTGTCGGTGGACGGCAAGGGCGACATCTACGCCGCCATCTTCCCGCGGGGCATCGAGATTCTTCAGGCGGCCAAGGACCCGCTGAACGCGAGGCCCAAGAGCGGCGCGGTGCGCATCCGCAAGGAGGGAGAGGGTGTCTACGTGTGGGAGAAGATTATTGAGGATGGGCTTGGGGAGGTGTTGCCTGGGTCTACTACGGTCGTGCACGATGCCAAGACGGGGAGGTTGTTCTTTGGTGGTGAGTGCCGTTGTGCCCTGCATATGCCGTTTCTGACTGTATGAATCGTGTTTCTGGAAATGATGCTGACTTGTTTCGGTGTGACATCGCCGTTCATTGCAGTCTGCGAGCCCGAGGACTGAGTGTGCATTGAGGTTCAATGCCGTCCAAGGCACAAGTGTTGACTGTGAAGTTCATACTCATGTCCACACTGGCTGAATCAATCCAACATGTCAAAACGAGATGACACAGCACCGCCCTACTCAATATCTTACTACTTAGTGTCGCTAGCTGTATAGCGGTAAAAATTTGGAGGTCGCGCCGTGAAAAGGTTGAAAATGAGATGAGATGCCAGGACTACCATTAGTGTTGCGAGTCCAGAGCACATGTGAAGAAACGGGAATGGTGGGCTTCCAGGAATGTTCATGCCACTGCAGGGTACCAGCGCTAAGTGAGATTCACATGGAATTTACTTACACGTGGGAGGCCCCGAGACATTGACTGACTCTTACAATCGTCACTAGTCATCAACTCTTCACCCATCTTAATCAACTAAGATCTATTGTGAAGGCGATTTATTCTCTGATTGAATGACTTGCATGTATACTTAGTTTACTCAATTATTCGAAAGTTCGAATTAACCATGAGCCTGGTGCCAGCAAACACAATTCAAGAGTCGTCCAGTCCTGTCACATCTCGCATCGTCCATCACATGCCAAAACCCCCCCCAACACCAAGACGTTTTCCCCAGACGGGCGAATCCCTGGAAGGGCCTAGCGGCGCGCCGGCCCTGCGTCATAGGGGCATGTGGGGGAACCGGGGGCTGGGAACAGGCCGTCTCCAGCGTGACTCGCCCAAAGCCGAACCCAGCCAGGATTTCACCTCTAACCGTGGAGCAGCCAGGTTCCTGGGGCCGAGGTACCGCGCTCCTTGCCGCAAAGGTCATCCATCATCCACGCCCATCAACAACCACCAACGACTCCCGACCACAACCTGTCCGTCTCAACTTCACACACCTCCGTTCCCCTTACCTCCGGTCCGAACCCTCCAAAGAATTTCTCCCGTAGACGTAGTCCGCCCTTGTCGCTCATTTACTACCTTTGCAAAACGATCGCGACCTCCATGCGCTGAGTGGAAGCTTTGTTCAATCGCGAGCGACTCCATCGTCGCATTCCGTCGTCCACTTTGGGAGCAAACGAATTGCCGAGGCTAGCCACTGCCACCACACATAGACGCAACACCCAGCAACGAACTTCGCCAACATGTCGCTCGCCGCCCTCGACGGCCTCAAGGTAGAGCTAACTATACGAGCGAGAAACAAAGTGCATGAGCTGACGCGCGCAACTACAGGCCGCAATCGAGCGCATCATCCTCGACCCCAAGTACCACGACATCCTCGCCGTCGTCAAAGGCGCCCGCAATGGAGCCGTCTACGGCGCAAAAGTCCGCTTTCCTCATGCCCTTGTGTATGCACCGCAGCCTCAAATCCGCTCTCATAGTCAAGCAAAATGCTAACGCCAGGCCCTGTACAGCATGATATTCCTCTTCCGTTCGGGAACGTACGTTACCACCCTCCACACCCCCGCGAAACCACCCCCCGGCTAACATAGCAAACCCCAAAAAGACTCCGCCAAAAAGCAGGCCTCGTCTTCCGCGCGACCCGAACCCACGCCCGCAATCTCGCCAAGTTTGCGACAATCTACAAGCTCACAATGTACCTCTTGAAAAACTACGGCCCCAGCCCGGGTAAAGAGGGCCCCTACGACTCCTTCTTCGCCGGCCTGCTGGGCGGCTACATCGTCTTTGGCGGCCGCTCCCCGCGCAGCGGCAAGATCTCGAGCGTGAACCAGCAGATTGTCATCTACGTCTTTGCGCGCGTCGTCCTGGCGCTCGCCCGCCTCGCCGTGGCCCCCGGCAAGGGCCTGCCCGTCGTCAGCCGCGACGACGTCTCGGCCAAGATCAGCTACTACGCGTGGCCCGTCTTTGCGAGCACGAGTTGGGCCATGGTCATGTACCTGTTCCGCTGGCAGCCGCAGGAGCTGCAGCCTAGTTTGAGGAGCAGCATGACGTACATTTACCAGCAGAGCAGCGAGTGGGATTCGCTGAGGAACTTTATCTGGCATAACAAATAGATGGGCGGCAGTTTCTCTCTTGTGAGTTTTTTGGTGGGTTGGATGGCGTGTACTATCAGATGATTGGCGTGTTGGCGAACTGTTTTTGGGTCTGGCTTTTTTGTTATTGAATATGGTGAATCGGTGATGAGATATCTAGTATGGAGAATCCTGGTAGCATCTTGACAGTTTTGTGATATGGCATCATAGACCGGTCATTTCACTCATATACAATCACGATTTGGACATTTTCATTTACCACTTGGGGCTTCAATGGTCGTGCGTGTCTTCACTTCCTCGTACACTGGCATGTTGCAACCGCGGGTATTCAGGTCCCGCCATGCACCTAGAGACTACTTTTATTCAACAGTGGAATACGACCAGACCGAACCCAACTGCTTGCTACTGCGTACCTTCCCGCATATGACCTCGAGAGAACCTGAGGCCAAGGTAAAGGCCAAGGTATATACCCCCCCTCAATCCCATTCTCGTCACCAGCAACGGCAGGCGCCCCTCTAGGTCGGGGGGTCAGGACAAACTGGGCTGGGTGGTGGAGTGGTTTATGGTCAACAATTGAATCGCCAACCAGCCTTACTCGACGACAGGCTTAGCGCATACGAGTGTACCCGAGTTCGAATCCCAGCATGTGCACCATAAATTTCCCAGCACGAGCACCAAGAGATGTAGCCACACCGGTGGTGAACTCTTTTTTTTTTTTTTTGGGGGGGGGGGGGGGGGGGGGCTTTTTGGAGTCTGGTTATTTGTAACGGGAGCCGGATGCCAGACCGGATCGCACCCTTTTTTGTTTACGACTGAGATGGTTATCTGCGTGGATGAGACGAGACTCACTTTCATACCCTGGATGTGCATTGCCGCGGGACTACATATGTATAAACAGTACGAGAATGTCACGCTGGATCACCTTTGCTGTAAGGCGGCGCTTCATACTCACCCCGAGGGGACGGGACCCCGTGGCCGGAGACTGGACGGCGTCGACTTTGTCCTGCTGCTTCTACACCGAGGTACCCAAAGCGGCGATTGTGCCCACGCTGCGTGCCTCGCGTTTGTGATGGAGGGCGGAGAACTGGTCCTGTGCGTCGTTGAGGGGGCCGGGTTCAACGGCGGAGAAGTGGGCGGCGGCCTTGGGACCCGCCTAGATGTTCGATTAGGTACTTGGAACGTGTTGTCGAAGGAGAGGGAGGGCCCCGCTGTTGCGTTGAGTGCTTGCTGTGAAAAAGTTTCCGTTGCCTGGATGCCGCGCGGGGAGGGGAGGTGAGGAGAATTAGAGGAGGGGATGATGGGTGGTTTGGTGTAGGGCTGTTGTGGATTGGTACCTAGACGTTTAAAATCAAGGAGGAGAATGCGAATGGAAGACGCCTCAGACCGCGGAATGGGAAGATCATGGCATATAATCTCAAAATTGATGTACGAGGGATCGGAGGCGATGTTCAGTGTATGTGCTCCAGGTATTCATATTCAGTGCCTTTGGGTCCGTTTGGAACTCTTTGATGTGGTAGGTAGAGTAATGTCGCTTCATTCCAAGACAATGGAAGCGGTGGATGTTGAGTTGGAAATGAAGCCATTGCGAGATTCACTCGTCATACCCCTGTTTGTTGCAGAATGTCATGTGCAGGGATATTCACAATAAGTGGGTTCCATCGCAAACGGCGTGGTGTGTGGCCGACATAAAATAAACCCTGCCAGTTCTGCTTACAAAATTTAGGAGATAAGAAAAACGCCACGGCAAAGCTAATCGCCGACGACCAAGAACCCGTCCCATCATCCCAGATCTCGGTCCGGCAGACTTCAAATTGCAAGAAAAGTTCCCTCATGGAGGATTATCAATCATCTGCCCACGGTAGACGTGCTCTTTTTACGTACTAGGGCAGCAAATCACCAGAGAGAACCCCGTCACTCAGTCATGGCATTTCGATCTCGAGATTACCTGATCTAGACCCCTCGAAGCTCACGCAGCAAAGTGCAACACAAACAGGCTTCATCCGACTCCCAGCCAAGTCTCCGCGGCTTCTTGGTGAAGCTTGGGCTTGTTGTTATTTGTTCCCGGCGAAATCCCGAGGTCCGGTAGTGCGGCAGGATAATGTGTGTGTGGGGGCAGCTGTCTGAATCGCCGGACCGTTCGCCGCAACCTCGTGGCATTTCTCAGCACGTCAGAACTCGCCTCCGACTTTAAGCTTGTATGCTTCTGTTCCTGGTTCTTGAGCTCTTGTCAACGCCTCAGAAATCTTGGAATGGGGGCTTGCAAGGCTGCATTCATGTTTCACGATTGGACCCTGAGCAATGATGTTGACAGCAGACTACCAACAGGACGTCACCACGCTCCCTGAGCTCCCTATCATCTACCCAAGGTACCAGGTCCCCTGGATGCAACTTGCGCGACAACATGTCACAAGCTGTTAAAATCAACCCCACCGACACCCACGCGCCCCGTCTTCGTTGCCTCGCAGTCTCTGGCACCTCTGCTGTTCATCGTACTATGCCGATTTCTAAGCAAACCTATGAAAAACTTCGTCTGCCGACGTGGCTGCCCACCCAAGCCTCGAGGAGAGCTCGGACGCTCAACCCGCTTTTGGCAGTATCGGGGCCAATTCGCCTTCATGATTCGTTGCTTCTAGGTTATCGCTTGTCATCGTCTCTTTGCCCACACGGACCCGTTCCGTTGCGGAGCCGCAGTTCTCTCTACACTAGTCGGGAGACCTCGTCCAAGGGGTTCGTTCGAGAACTTTTCCTTTTGCCTAGGAACACCGCGTGTAGCGCCTCACAGAGCAGCTCCTCGGATTTTTCAGACTAACAGTGGCATTCATGCACCCAACCCACACTCACCCCTATCCCTCCCATCGTGGAGCAGCGCAAGGCACAAGCACCAGAACCCGGCTTCGGTTTCACCGCTCGGAGAGTGAGCGGACCTGGTGGCTCGCTGAGAAATGGACGGTAAGGCGTCGGACCCGCTCGCCGAGTTGTCGCCGTGTACGGCGGAGGGGAGGTCATTTCTAAGCCGCCCAGGGCCACGGGGAAAAGTCTTTTCGCCCAATGGATCAACAAACTCATGGCGGGAAGATCTGGTTGTGGGGGGGGGGGGGGGGGCCACTGCCGAGGACTGCTCCTGTTCCTAGTGGGACTCTCCAGATGATTCCACGACGATGCCGTCCGTGGTGGGCTCTTGGTCGACTTACACCAAGTCTTTGGGACATACAAATACCCTCGAGATCTCCCTCCTTTCAAGTGAAGAAGAAGATCATCTCATAAGCATATATCATCTTACGACTCTCTGATCTACAACATTTCTCATCTCTCTATTTCCCTTTGAACTGCATTTCTAGATACCGCCTTTCAACTTTCAAACCCCACCTTTCCAAACAATCACAATGGCCGCCGAGAACACCAAGCTCTTCCAGCCTCTCAAGGCCGGCAAGATGGAGCTCGGCCACCGCGTCGTCATGGCCCCCCTCACCCGCTACCGCGCCGACGACGACTCCATCCCCCTTCCCCTCGTCTCCCAGTACTACGCCGACCGCGCCTCGACCCCGGGCACCCTCATCATCACCGAGGCCACCGCCGTCTCCCCGGCTGACGTCGGCGACCTCGACCTCCCCGACTTCTCCACTCCGGCCCAGATCGCCGCCTGGAAGGAAGTCTTTGACGCCGTCCACGCCAAGGGCAGCTACGTCTTCCAGCAGCTCTGGTCCCTCGGCCGCGCCGCCGACCCGGAGTTCGTCCGGGGCCGCGGCTTCAAGTACTGCTCCTCCTCCGACGTCCAGATGACCGGCCGCCCCTGCAAGCCCGACGCCCTCACCGAGGAGGAAATCTGGGAAAAGATCAACAACTGGCGCGTCGCCGCCCGCAACGTCATCGCCGCCGGCGGTGACGGCGTCGAGATCCACGGCGCCCACGGCTACCTCGTCGACCAGTTCACCCGCGACTCGGCCAACAAGCGCACCGACAAGTGGGGCGGCTCCGTCGAGAACCGCGCCCGCTTCCTCCTCGAAATCATCAAGGCCGTCGTCGAGGAGGTCGGCGCCGAGCGCGTCGCCCTGCGCCTGAGTCCCTTTGCCACCTTCCAGGATTCCTACTCCACCGACCCGGACACCTGGGAGCAGACGTCGTACATTGTCCGCGAGATCAAGAAGGCCGGCCACAAGCTCGCCTACCTCTCCCTCGTCGAGGCCGTCGGCAACCCCGTCAACCTGGGCATCGCGCCCCGCCAGGTCACGGACGACGTCCAGCCGTTTGACGAGACCAAGCCCCAGACGCTCGACTTCATCCTCGAGGAGTGGGATAACCTCTCCCCCGTCGTCGTCGCCGGCGGCTACCTCGGCGACAGCGCGCGCTGGGCCGTCGACGAGCGCTACGCCAAGTGGGATGTCGCCGTTGCTTTCGGCCGCTACTTCATCTCCAACCCGGACCTCGTCTTCCGCGTCAAGAACAACGTCGCCTTCACACCCTACGACCGCACTACTTTCTACAAGAAGAAGAGCAACGATGGCTACAACACGTACGAGTTTAGCGAGGAGTACAAGAAGGTCAACGGTGTCAACGGCTCTGCCTAAGTTTTTCGTTGCCAAAAAGATATTGGGACGGATTGGGGGCTGGGAATGGGTTAGAGGATATGGGCATTTACATGCATAGCATTGGAGTTTTTGGGTTTTCCATGATAATAGATCTATGAGGGTCGATATAGAGATAACATGAATACAGTTTTCCTTTTGTCTACTTTTATGCCTGCCCCCGGTGTGAGGAAGTGAATTGCTGTCGAGAGCACCAGTCTTATCTGATGCTTGGATCCCGTGAATATTTGTTCGACCTCCAACTTTTCGGTTACTCACTGATCCAGGAAGGCATGGCTTGGTAGCAGGGAACCTTGCCACATTGCCGTCCGGGACTCACCAGTTGAGGAAGCCTGATTCGGTCAAGATTGAGATTGCAATTCTCCAGTGATCATCATGCGTCAACAGGGTGATCGTGTAACAAGTCATTGCCGTAGAACTGCAATTCACGAGGCCAAGTGGAAAATGTCGAAAAGCAAAGAACAATACAGCTTCATCATGACGACTACCAAAACGAACGGGGCGTTCAGGTCCCCTGATTGCGTGCTACCCTGCATGGTAGCTGATGCAAGTGATTAACAGCTGGCTCGATGCGCTGAGTGATCGAGAGCGGTCCCGCAAATTGCCTTTACCAACATAACTATCACAGCCAGGCTTGGCTGCCAATTTGAAGAAATTGGTGAGGTGTTGGCCATAAAACCATCATGAATGCTATGTAATCAATGTACACTATGCATACCTTACCTCACTATAGAGTCGAATGCCATGCCACATTGGCAACTGAGGCACGGAACAGCAACAACGGCAAAAGGGGAGCTGGCGGCATCTGTGTGGAGCAAAAAGTCCGGTCGGCGGCCGGAAGAAGGACGGAGGGAATGTGGTCCGAGCGTCCACCCACCCCAAGCGAATTTCGACCATAAAATCACATGACGCGGTAGGAGGGCAACCGAACCCTACCAAAAAGTGCGAGTGGGGCGATTTGGTTCGCAGAGAAGCGAAACCTCCAAGCGACTGGAGCCCCAGCACGCTTTCCAAAACTTCGACACCACCGGCAATTCAGCTATTCGCCTTCGATAGACCGCATCGAAAGCGAATTCCCTGGCAACTCACAACCCGCAAAGATGGCTGACGACCCCGAATACGTACGTGCGAATCTCCTCCTGTTTCCCTGAATCGATGGAAAAAGAATAAAGCAATTTCGACCGACGCGCCCGCGACAAGGAAAAAAAATGGGGGAGGGACTTGTTGCGTGGTCGCGTGGGCTACACATCTTGGAACAGAACAGTTTTTGGCTGACTGGATGGACGCATACAGAACGCCGAGGAGGCTGCCGAGCTCAAGAAGAGAAGAGCGTTCCGCAAGTTCCAGTACCGCGGAATCGACCTCGAGGCGTACGTTTGCCCATATCCCACATCCCACCACCAGACACATTTCGCACCCCACGATCGACGAACACCGCCATGATTTCATCACCCTACTCCTTCTCCACACACTTCCACGATCCGAAGACACCAACAATCAATCGAAACGTATGAGGGGAATAGCCCAAGCTAACATGAGTTGTTCCATAGTCTCCTTGACCTCGACTCTGAGCAGCTCCGCGATGTCGTCCACGCCCGTGCCCGCCGGCGCATCAACCGCGGTCTCAAGCGCCGCCCCATGGGCTTGATCAAGAAGCTCCGCAAGGCCAAGCAGGAGGCCAAGCCCAACGAGAAGCCCGACCTCGTCAAGACTCACCTCCGTGACATGATTGTCGTCCCCGAGATGATCGGCTCCGTCATTGGCATCTACTCCGGCAAGGAGTTCAACACCGTCGAGATCAAGCCCGAGATGGTTGGTCACTACCTTGCTGAATTCTCCATCTCTTAGTATGTTCCTCCTCTCCCGAAAATGATGCGTTTATGGACGCAGCGATCCCTTCGAAACAATACTGACAGCCTACCAGCCGCCCCGTCAAGCACGGAAGACCCGGTATCGGTGCCACGCACTCTTCTCGTTTCATCCCCCTGAAGTAAGGGAGAGTATGGTTGTGGGCTGTCTATGGGAGGTTCTTGCATTCAAACGGGCATCAAGGCGAAACGGGAAATGGTTTTGGTAGCAAGGCAAGGCCGCTATCATGTTGTTTGGGCGATGATAGTTCAATACAACATCGTTGTCCGCTAAAAAGTTTGAGCCTCAAAGTGGGAATGAATTCAACGAAGAGATACCAAAAGTACATTTCACTCTTCCACCTCTACCTTGCTGTGATATTCTGCGTGTGGCAACCTTGCTCTTGGACGGCCAAGGCATTCCAATGGAAGGAAGTGGCCACTTTCTTCTTCCAACTTAATTAAGCCCTGGTTCATTTAGGATGTCATTCATCGGACCCACCAAAATCACATTGACCAAACTGAGCCAAGGTACTTCGAGGCACATCACTTGAACAACACCGAAAGAGACAACTGCATGGACACTGGGCATGCTTAACAACGGCATGAAAAGCACCTTGGGTATATCTATGTCATGATCTATGCATCCCCCCTCATCACTCTCATCACAACTCATCACAGCTCATCCTTTCCAACCAACTTGAGCTGCGCCTTCTCATGCGCATCCAGTCTCTCATACAGATCCTTGCTCCAGTGGCTCGTATCCCCCTTGTTCTTCTCCATAATCGACTTGACCGCAACCTTCCAGTTCTCGTCGCTCACGCGGTCGGCAATCCTCTTGGACCTATCCGCCTCAGACGCCTTGAACAGGGGCCAGACGCCCACATCGGCGCCCATTTCCTCGTCGAGGAAGCTGTCCAACACGAGTTGGCCGGCTTTACGCTGCGCAGTCTCCCATTGCGCGTCCTCCAGTGCCAGGACCTCGAGGAGGCGGTCCATGCCCTTGTTGGCGATGAAGTCGTCCCGGATGGTCGGGCTCTTGATGAGGCCCTTGATGGCGGCGACTTGCGCCTTGGCCTTGTTCGCGGCGCGGAGAACGTCGTGGTCGGCGGCACCGCTGCTCTCGGGTGAGCGCACAAACGAGGCGTAGAAGCCGTCGCGGACCTTGAGTTGCGGCGCCTTGTGGAGGGAGCGGCATGATGAGTCCATCAGCTGGGGCCAGACTTTGGTCACCTCCTCGAGGGCGGTGGGGTTGTTCTGAAGAGCGCCGGAGATAATGGCGGCCGCTTGCTGGTCGCGGGGCACCGTGCCCTCGGACGGCGCGGGCGTCTTGGGGTCGATCATGAGGCAGAAGAGGGATTTGACGGTGTCAAAGGTCTCTGTGATCTTGAGGCCGTAGTAGATATCGTGTGAAATGTCTCCGAGGAACTCGAGGGCCTCGTCCATCGGGAGGTCGCTTCCGTGGGGTCCCTTTTTGACGTACTCGAGGCTCGTGTAGAATTCGCCCGACTCCTCCTTGGGCTGCTTCACTGCGCCGACTGGTTCGTACTTTGGCGCGTCCTTGGGGATCTGCGCCTCCTCAGGAGCTTCCGAGTCTACCACCACGATTGAGCGGTCAACGGGTAGGCCCTCGAGTTCCGGGTTCTTCTCGGTTGGGTCGTTGATCTTGGCCTCCTTTTTGCCCGTGTTGATGTTTAGGCGTACGTGGAGTCCATGTGGTAATTCTTGATCATCGTGAACTAGCTGAAACTCTTCCGTGGGTTGGAAAATTTTGGGGTAACATTCTGATGGGTTGTCGGTGTGGCAGATGAGCTCTACTTCGGCTGAAGGTGAGGGCGCTGATGGTGATGAGGCGGAGGCTGATGATGCGAAAAAGACGAGGCCGAGAACAACCATGAAAATTGTGAATGGGAGAAGGAACGCGCGGGTTGATCTCCTCGAAGCCATTTTGGCTAGTTTAACTGAGGATTTCGACTTTGTGATGTTGTTGGTTGCCAAAATGTTGGTATGATGATTACGATGAGTTGGGCCGGGTGAAGAGGTACGATCTTATCTCGTGTATAAGACCAAAAGGCGCTATGATGCTGTATGAGATTGTGGGTGAGGTGGACCTCAAGTAACTGAAATCTTGACTCGGTCTCACGATGTGAGTTGATGCAATGAAAAGTGGTTGAAGAGATGCACGCCTTTATACTTTATACACAACCGCGAGATTAGAAATGAGTCAACAATGAAAAAGGACAGTTTACCATCACAAAATAGAAATCCGTCGAAGTCATCCGTCTGGCCAAGTTGTCTCCAATAGCCCCATTAAGAGGCGATTTCACTTATTTGAATTCGGCAACCGATAATTGGCCCAACAGCCGCGGCTGTCCGCGCTTGACCGCGCTAGCGCTAATCCACGAAAAGTGACGCTCCTCCGGCACCTTGGATCAACCTCCACCAAGCCGAAGCTCCCTCCTCGAGAGACGCCCTACCCAGCAACCGAATTCCCATCGTCAATTGACACCCCATTTCCGAAACGTCATACACGATGCAGGCCATTCGAACGCGGGCTGTCTGCATCGCGCGTCAGTCACGGCTGACTGGCCTGCGCCATTCGAGAACCTACGCCTCCGGAGGTGACCACGGCCACCACCACGCCCACACCGTCGAGGAGCCCATTGGCGTACGTCCTGCGAACAACCCCTCCTTTGTCGTTCAATTGGCCGTCGCTGTGCGGTTAGCTCTCAATTGATATCAATTGGCTGACTTGTGACTCTGTAGAAATTCTTCTGGGCTGTCGTCGCCGTTATCCCGTCCGCATACGTCGTCTACAAGATCACCGCCCCCGGCAAGGACGGCGAGCCTCCTTACCTCACCACCAAGATCCAGGAGGCGTGGCACTGGCAGGAGACATGGAAGGAGAGAAACGCGCTGCACACCAAGGCCGTTGAGCAGGCTGGTTTCGACAGACTGCTCTTCTTCTCTACCCCTGCCAACCGCGATGTCGACCTCAGATTCCCCGAGTATGCCTCCCCCCGAGCATCCCCTTGCCATACGGAAGGCGTCTGGCTCCGTACAATGGAAGAAGAATAAAAGAACGGAAGCTGACAATTGATGCGCAGGGCCATGTCCAACTTCGCCGCCCGCAACGTTGTTGCCGGTTCCCAGACCAACCTGGACCATGTGATCGCCCACTACAAGAAGCAGCACGTCGAGGAGGAGGAGCGGAAAGTAAAGAAGCTTGCCACGCAGAAGCAGGAATGAGAGTAGGGTTTGGTGTATGATACCGTTACATAGATCAACTCGAGGTTGAATCAAAATTTCCAGTTCTTTTGTTACCAGTTGACCCTTCTACAGTCTGTTGTGGAAAGTAACCGACCAAGACTAAGACGAAGTGCCGCAGCTTCACTGATTTGCTTGATGTTGTTTGACGCTGGGGTAGCGGCTATTGATTTTCTAAATGTTGGCCAAGCTTATGCCTCTTCCAAGGGCAAGCCTACCCAGCTATCTACTGTCTGCCACTGAAGTGGGAGACCGCACTGGGTGTATCCGGGCTACGGACCTGCCTGGTCTGCAGAGCGAGTTCTGCAGTCCTACTCTTTCCTATTCTTCGTCGCTCTGTCGTCAGAGATAACATTTCCTCCACCGACTTCCTTCCCATCATTGATAAAATTTAACCCCTATCATCGTCACAAAGAGCACGTAAGCTACCCAACGTACTTGGCGGAGGTATGGCATTTGCTGGTTCTAACTTCCTTATCTTGGACTGTAGATAGTACCAGCGACGCTGTGCTACTCGCGACTACCATATGGTGCTATTCCATCCCACTTTTCAGCTCCCTGCTGTTGGAAAAAAGAGGTAGTGAAGTTCCTTCCGATATGGCAACTACCTCAGATGCACAGTCGTCTCACCCAACTCTATCCAGTAGTTTCCCGCCGCAGCTTGTTTTTGGGCGCCTGATAAGGTGTACCAAAGAACGTGATCTCATCCCGTACCTGCCACTCATATCGCTTACAAGGTAATGTAGGCGTTGGTGCACCTCCCTTCCCTCTCGGGGCTTCCTTCTACCGCTGTCTTCTCTCTTCTCGAGCTCTGCCTCTTCTGCTCCCGTCTCCTGTTACTTTTCTCCCGTATATGCTCGTTCGACAGACTTCGTCTTTCATCACAATCCGCATTGCCCCCAAGCCTTTCTTGGTTATCCATCCATTCTTCTTTCTAATCAATCTATCAAAGTATTCGTCGACTACTTAGATATTTTATCCACCACCCACTACACGTAACACAAGCTTCACGTTGTTGCCGTCGCAATGTCGATACTACCCATGCCTCATGTGCTCACGTTCATAGAAGGGCCGAGGAGAGCGGTGAAAAGATACGAAGCTGGGGCAGCCATCTACCAGGGCCCGGCCTTGTTTAGGCTGACCAGTTTCCAACCAGAAGATGACCGGTTCTCTGATTTCTAGGAGGGATTGACAGTGCCCGCTGCCCACGCAATCAAGGCACTCTACAGGGACTACTGCCCACGGCTGGAGGAAGTTCCTCATTCGCGACACATCATGAACACTATGCACCATTCCATACTGTGCGAGTTCATGAACAACATTGGATTCATGGTATTCGGAAACCATCTCATACCTCTCGACCCTGCCGAGCTCCTTCCCTTTGGCGACCCGAATGGGAACGCCCGGTTCACCGGTTATTACAATGACACTATTTCCGTTTTCAGAGCCACACAGGACATCGCTGCGGGCGAGGAAATTCGGATGTGTCGTCCGTCATACATATGTCTCTGCCCGCTATGCTCTATTCCGCCACCAGCCGTAGCCTTGCGGCTTAACCCCGGAGCCTTCCCGTTGATTCCCGCCTCCGGCAGCTTCGCTAGCAGCTGGGCCGTCGATGAAGAGAGACGCGAGGAAGCCAACCAAGGCGAGGAGAGAGAAAAAAGCGAAGAAAGCAAGGAAGCTGAGGAAGATGAGAAGGATGAGGAAGGACTGGAAGACGTCGAGATCCCTAAGCGAAACAAGGGCAAGGGCAAAGCCATTGACTACGTCATCGACAACGGTGAAGGCCCCAGCAGTTCCAGAGAGGAGCGGCAGGCCACAGACCCCTACTCTGGTTCCGGAGATGATCCTCTTTCCTTTCGAGCAGCCTTGGCGCTACCGGCTCCGGGGCCTGGGGAGCCAAGGACCCTTGATCCGCTCAGGATGAACCCGGCCAACCCGTCTACTGGTAATCAGCAGCAGAAGAAGGTTGCCAAATCCGACAGCGGTGGAGATACAGAACATGTCGAGAATGTTCCCAACAACGACGGCGCGAACGGCGTGCCCCAGGACAAGAAGCCAAGTCGCGCGGCCAGATTCAAACTGGTCTTGAAGAAAAAGTTTGGAATCAAAGACAAGCCTGAGATCGATCACCAAGAGGCCAGCCACAACAAGGATAACCAAGCCGAAGGCGACCAAATCGAGGACAATCACTCCGGGGTCAAACAACCTGGTGACAGCCAGCCGGCAAGCGAACATCAGGAGTTGGCGTGAGATTTCCAACCCCGAGGGACTTACGGCAGATGAGAATTAGAACATAGAGGGCATCGAGTGTAGTCTCAATAAACATACTTACGAGGAGCCGAATCTGCACCCTTTGCGTGATTCAATGATGCAAAGTTTGTCAAACAAATAACCAATTGAAAAAATACCTGAACCAGGATGGATGGCTGGAGGCAAAAGTCTACCACACCCATGAAGGATGGAAACCAGTCACGTAGTGTAGACTGATGCTGTGAAGCACATGTAGTTGGTCACCCGAGAATAGCAATGGTTCAGTCAACGTGTTCATTACTGGGCATGATGCTCATAACCTTTCGCAAGCCTTGTCTCTCATCAATGCCATCATCACAGGACAGCGAACGAGCCACAACAAGAAAGCGGATGCTGTAAAAAAGCTCTCAGACCCACCAAAACCGTTGTGCCAGAAAAAAATCCCCTTGCCAGTTTCTCAGCGCGGCACGACATATTCTAGCTGACCCAAACCACTGGTATGAGGATGCAGCCGAACCGTGTCGCATTATCTCCCGCAGGCACCTTTAAGATCCTCTCGGTAGCTTTCCTTCTCCCTGTCTGAGTTGGAATCGACCTTTTCTCGGACCAGTCCCACCATGCAAACTTTGCCTTAGAGCTCATCGGGATACAACATCTTTACGAAGCTTTGTTTCCCTTCTGGAAGAGCTCATAAGATGAGCATAATAATTTGGGGGAGACCAAGTCGGTTACTCGAATCTGCCTCCTCTCCGGGGATTATGTCACCGGGATCCGCTCGGGTGCGAGGGAGAGATTGCGCCTCCTGGCAGTAACGGCTCCCTTAGAAGCCGTGGACTTTGACGAGCTATGGGGGGGATTGGGGTTAGCCATGTCTTGGGTTTCTACGCGGGGAAACCGGAACGTGATTGTCTCGACGAGGATATTGGGGGGGTTAAGTAGTGATTTGACGTACCTTGGCGTCCATTTCGAGACCCTCTTGCTTGTCGATGAGGAAGTCGTGAATAGCCTTGCGCTGGTCACCTGTGTATCACGATTATTAGCTTTGCTTGTTGCGTACGTAGGGTGGCAGTGCATCTCCATGCTCGGAGCTCGCTTCAGCGACCCTCGGTCGAATCGGCATTCCGCCGCCGGAGGGAGACACGTCAACGATGCTGCCGTCGCCGGAGTGTATTACTGACGTAAACGTACCCTGAAGCTGTAGAACCTCACCGAGATCCTGGTCCTCCACAATGGTGCCGTTGCAGGCAAACTTCTTCTTTATGACCTTGAGAATCTTCTTCTGGTCGAAGCGCTTGGGCAGGCCCTGGATGGTGGTGAGGGTCTTGCGGCCATTGCGCTGCTGGATTCGGATGTGGATGTAGTCCTGGCCCTTCTTCTGCTTATCCGCGTCGCCCTCGTCCGCGTCCGCGAAGGGGTCGATGGTCTTGAGGTTTTCGATGGTAGTCATGAGAAAGAGCTTTGCGCGCGCGCGTGAGAACGTCGATGCGTGAAGAGGGTTTGTTTGGGCGATTTGACGCGTTTTCGTTTGGACGTAAGAAGAAACCTGTCTGGGGTTAAGAAGGTGTGTTTGGAGAAAGACCGGGTAGGAAGATCGAGGTATGTGTATGCTACGTGTGAGGCTGAGGAAAAAGACCGTGAACAGAAAGGCGGGAGTTGGTGGGATGGAGTAGGGACGAGGCGGGGTTGAAAGGTGGGAGAAGGGTGGGGTCTGTGCTTGGGTGGTGATGGTGGGGCCCTTTTTGAGCTTTCGGTGAAGTTCCATCTGAACAGCACGAACAATTAGTTGAACAGGCAGTGACAGGCACACAAAGCTGCACTGCCACGACTGACTGCCGCCCTCCCACACACACCCTCAAAGCAGAGAAAGTCGGTGAGCTTCTCCAGCCTTTTTTTTTTTTTTTTTTTTTTCCATGGCTGTCGATCTTTGATTATCCCCCCGTCGTACCTTGCATTAGCCACATGCAAGTGTGGCGCATACAGATATCTCTTCTTGCCCTGAATCCCCAGCCAAGGGATTGGATTGGGCAGCATATTGAAGAGGGTTTCCCGATTATTTTCAAACCAACTCTTACTTGTCTTAATCTGCGACACTTGGAAAACAGCTTTCCATCATGACAGAAGTAGGCAGTGGCATAGAAGTACGCGGCGAGAAAGGTAGCCCCAAGGGCCGCTCTCTCCACGCGACACGCAGCTTCGAGCCGGGCGACATCATCGCCCGGTTCAACAGCCCGGCCGTCGTGCTCCCGCCGGGCCCACGCGCGCTAGAGTACTGCAACCACTGCCTCAAACAGCAGCGGCAAGAAGAACCCGTCCCGTCCACGGAGAAGCTCCGCGCGTGCACGGGATGTAAGACGGTGGCGTACTGCGGGCCGGCGTGCCAGCGCGCCAACTGGTCCGTCGTGCACAAGTTTGAGTGCAAGGCGATTCAGAGGCTTCACAAGACTAAGCCGGCGGACCAGCCGAACTGGGTGCCGACGCCGGTGCGGGCGGCGGCGCAGGTTATGTTACGGCCCAAGGTGATGGACAAGTTTGAGGAGCTGGAGGGCAATGTTGAGTTGTGGCGCGGCAAGGAGATGGTGAAGTTGCAGCTTCAGGCGCAGGGGGTTGTGAGGTGTCTTGATGTTGATGAGGTTTCGGTTGAGTTGTTGGAGAGTGCTTTTCAGGTTCTGTGCAAGGTGCGTTGTGCTACTCTTTAATTCTCCAAGTTGGGTAGACCCTGGGGGCTAACAGTGCTATAACAGCTTCAAACGAATGCTTTCAGTGTGTCAGAGGATGAGACTGATGGTGTTTACTTGGACACCACACTTGCCATGATGAATCACTCATGCAGCCCCAATGCCATGGTCCAGTTTGATGGCAGGTCAGCCTCACTCCGCGCAATGGCTTTCATCGAGTCAGGGGATGAGGTCGAAATATCGTACATCGGTAAGTCGTCGTCTAAAATGCATGCATTTCTGTCTTGTGAACGTACCTCGACTGAGCCATCACAGACGAAACTCAGCCAAAGAGCAAAAGACGGGAACACCTGAGATCGTATTACTTTGATTGCAGGTGCTACAAGTGTATCGACGACCTGGACGACTATCAAATTGCCCAGAAGGATCGGAGGATTGCGAATCTGAATGAGCTGAGTGTAACACCTGATATCGAGAGATTCAAGAACCCTCATCTGGCCGAAAAAGATCGCTTGCGGCAAGCAATCGAAGTTACAAAGCTTCTAGACATGTTTCCTGCGCAACTCCGCAACATGGAGCCCCAGGCAAAACACAAGTGGCTGAGGGAGGCGTACAAGTCGACCATATGGTTTCCCAAGAATGGCCGATGGGCCATTGAGCCCTTTGCTAAGCTCGTGGACGAGGCGGCAGTCTATTTTGGGAAGAATCGGGGCAACCACGAGTGTGCCTTGGCCATCGCCTGCCTGACAGCCTATGAGATCGATCCGTACAAGTTTCCCGTCCCGTTCCACAACGAGAGGATAAGAGGTCTCTCTGCCATTGCGATCGCGCTGTCTCAAACAGCGCCTGAACCGGAAAAGTTGATTAAGCTGGCGAGGGACTTGGCCGCGAAGAAGAAGTTCTCGGCCGCCGGGGTCAGAGTATTGGAGAATCTCGACCAGGTGTCAATGTGCCAGATGGTTTTGTCATTGATCAATGGGTACAAAGACCGGACGCCGAAGATCGACTGGGATGGTATTGGTCCGTATAGCTGGTATAGCTGGCATAGCGGGATGATTGCTGAGATTGAGAGCCTTCCGGGCAGAGACAGGGAGAATAGCTTGATCAACGCATGGATCATGAATCCAAAGGGGATGGACGACTTCTTCAGGTACGCTCTGGTAAAGCCGGTCAAGGCGTTGACTGAGCTTGGAAAGGCTGTGTTGGATGTGGACTTGGGCGAGGACTGCGATTTGTCTGCTAATTGATATCCCTGGACGAGACCAAGATTAAAAACAAACATCCTTTGTTTAATTACTACTGAGCTGCCTACAAGAGTGTCAAAACTTGCTGTTCGCAGGTAAAGAAGACCTTGGTTTCTTGATACTCCTTTTGTCAATGGCACCAGATCTGGTGAGTCTTGGGCTTTTATTCTCTTCACCAGGTCCGGCCGTTTTCTCTGCTGGTGCCTTTCGTTTACGACTCGTACTTTGCTGGACTTTGGGCGAGGCGGAGGTAGCTCCGTTGTGAACCCGGACGTGTGCTCCCTGAAACAGGTCGTTCGACCCTGGATCGATGGTATTCGGAATCCCAGACGTCTCCGAACTCGTGGATGGTCGAGTCGGAGCGAGTTGCAATTCCTCGCAAGCTTGAGAAGGACGCTCTGCACTCGCCTCGAGACGCTGTATCCTGCTCTTGAAGAGGTCAAACTCCATCTGCAGTGTTTCCACTTGATTTGCCCGGGCTCCAATCTTTGTGATGTTGCTGGTCAAGATATCCAATTCCCGCGAGGGTATTTGCTGTTTTGACGGGTCGAATTTCTTTTTGTGGTCTTGCTCTATGACTTGTCTCAACTGCCGTAACTCAATTCGTAAACTGGCTGTCTCCTTGGCGCTGTCCTTTGCCATGTCGAGGCTGTCTTTCGCGGTTTCGGTTGCACTTTCCACTGTGACTTTTAGGCCCAGGGTTACGCTTTCGAGCCTTCTGTAGTCCTCTCGCGCCGATTGGAGATCTTTTCGAAGCAGACTATTCTCCTCTCTAGCTTCCTCGAAGAGCTTCTGCATCTCAGAAATCACTGTGTTTGCCGTCCGAACCTGGCTTTCCACTCGAGACAGTTTGGGACTGTTCTGCAGAGAGGATTTCCCACCAGATGTTTCCAGCTTGACTGACTTCAAGTCGGCTCTGTGAAGGTCGAGGTCCTTTTGAAGCTGATCCATAGTTGAATTGAGCTTCGTCATCTCCTTGTCGATGCGCGAAACAGCGCCGTCGAATTGTGTCACTACTTGAAAACCAGCGGTATCGATCCTCTCAATGTTTTCCCGCTGTGTATCAAGATCTTCCCGCAAACGGAATAAGTCAATGTTCTCAGAGTTGGGCGATCTTTGCCCGTTTCCAAAGCCGCATCCTTGACGAGAATCTGAGTTAAACGGAGCGTTCGTAGAGTACGATCCAGGGCGAGTGTCAACCCGAAGCTTCAATTTGCGACATACATCGAGCTCTATCGGCTTGCCATTCTTCTTCAGAAATACAACAGAGGTCTGTCTGAGAAGTATTTGCGAGCTACTTCGGGTGAGTCCTGGGATCGTCGAGTTACGAGGTTGACTTACTCTTGAAGTACATGGTTGACTGGGCTACCAAGACACTTGAGACCGATGATATTATCACATTTGGCGCAAGCGACGTCTTGAAGCTCACTGCAAGAATCAGTCTATCATTGCACACATGAAATGGCGAATGGTTCCTTACCACTCGGCAACGAGGTAACCTGCTTCACCAATCCTGGTGGGTTCCTTGGCAATCATCTGAATATTGCCTTGCGCCTCAATCGTCGGACTGAAATAAGATTTCCCAATCTGAGTCCACAGATTGAAGAAGCTTGCCAGTTTTGTCTGACATTTTGCGCACTTGCACTGGATGATTTCCATTTCGGTGAATGCTCGAGATACCTGCGATGGCACGGATCTATGAACTTGAGGCTTCGCGACGCCAAGGGACCATGGCTGGTGGCCGTTGGTTCAGATATTTGATGATGGATGACGATTGGGAAAGGTTGCGTCCCAGTGACACATGGTGAAAGACGTAGGGTACCTTAGGTATCTTAGGTTGATGCTGCGACAGAATACGACAGACAACCTGGGTGCGTGCCTGCCTCATTTTAGTCCCTGTCGACCGGGAAGGAGCTCGAGGCCGGGGTCCCTGACCGTTGAGGCTTATCTTATCTTGCACCCAGCCGATTGGCTCGCCCCGCAAAACCAACAATCGACGGTCGCATTTGTGCTTTCCACCTCAGTCAGGGAACTTTTTTTTCTGAGCTCCCATCTGAAAACTCACCCCAACACATCGACAAGCACACCCCCACTACCTTACCTACCGCGGCGCAATTCGATATACTGCCATTGGACCTTCTGAAACCCTCCAATTACCATCGGCAGCAATTGGACGCGAGACAGTATGGGAAAGCGCCGCAGAAACCGCGACGAAGGCGGGGAAGGTGCCGTTGTCGCCTCCGATGATGTCCCCGGAACGACCTCCCAGACCCACGAAGCGACAGCCGAAACCGAGACGGGGAATGGCGAGACTAGTTCGCGGGAGAGTTCCTCAAATACTCAAAGCAGTGGCAGCTTGAAGAGAAGTGCCCCTGACGATGATGACGAAGGATGGACCAAAGTCGAGCGATCCAACAAGAAGCGCAAGAAGGTCCCACGTGAGGGCTCCAACAACTATCCCGCAATTACCTTCTCTACAAGTGCGAAACTATTTTCCAAGATCAATCTCGCCATGCTTCGCGATCTGGTCCTGTACATATTCGCCGATGGAACGGGCCCGAACTGGGTGTCTGTTTCTCACCGACCGAACTTCAGAAAGATGGTTGTGTTGATGGTGCCTGGATTGGAGGAAGCCATGTTCAAGGAAGGAGTGAACTTCGACAACTACACATCTGGCCCAGCTAGGAACCAGGACCGGACGGAAACGACGCCCGACGATTACTACCCACGAGCTCTTTCTGCAGACCAGCTGCCGGTTGCGCTTCAGGGATTCGCCAAAATGTTCCCCCACTTGTGGCCCGTCAAGGCGCCTGGTGACGACAAGTACATGAAGCTTCACTCGCCCATGGGAACGTTCTTAACGGCACCGATGCCTAAGAACAAGGACGACAGGAAGGGCCCCAAACCGGCAAGAGAGCCCTCGGGATGGAAGAATGAGCGAACTCGTATTACCGAATTTTTGGCATCACTCGAAGAGCTCGAGACCGCTGGTCATCTCATCCACCCTGCGCTCATTGAGAACGAGGAGAGGAAAGCGGCTTTCAAGGTTCCCGAAGGATGGGCTATTTCTAAAGTTGACAAGATCGAAGACGGCGAGGTGCCCGAAGCGGAGATAGAAAGTGGCAGCGTGACTGCTGGCCGGGAGTGTCTCGCCTTGGATTGCGAGATGTGCATGACAGGAGAGAGCGAATACTCTCTCACCCGTATCAGCGTCATCTCTTGGTCGGGAGAGCTCATCATGGACGAGCTGGTGAAGCCAGAAAAGCCCATTACCGACTACGTCACCCGATTTTCTGGCATCACGGAGGAAATGCTGAAGCCGGTTACGACCACATTGAAGGACATTCAACAGAAGTTGGTTGAACTCATCACTCCGCGCACGATCCTTATTGGACACTCGCTCGAATCTGACTTGAAGGCTCTGCGATTCTCACATCCCTTCATTGTCGATACCTCCTTGATCTACCCTCATCCTAGAGGTCCACCTCTGAAGGCGTCACTGAAGTGGCTTACTCAAAAGTACGTTAACCGCGAAATCCAAAAGGGCGGTGCCAATGGACACAATCCCATAGAAGACTCCCGCGCCTGTCTCGATCTCGTCAGACAAAAGTGCGAGAAGGGAAAGCTGTGGGGTGCATCTGATTCCCAGGGCGAGAACCTGTTCCGACGACTAGCGAGAGCGGGTACTGCGTACAAAGCACAGGGCGGAGAGGCAGGCGGTTTGGTCACCGGAAAGACAAGCGCTGCTGTCGACTGGGGTGAACCATCCAAGGGACCTGGTGCTGGAGCAACCTATCAAATAGGCTGCAAGTCCGACGCGGACGTTGTCAACGGCGTCATCCGTGCTGTGAAGGGAGACCCTGATGGACTGGAAATTCCCGGCGGCGGTGTCGACTTCGTCTGGGGTCGCATGCGAGAGCTTGAGGCGTTGCAAGGGTGGTGGAACAAGAACCGAGTCGAAAGCGCCAGCAGTGACGGAGGCCCGCCTCCCTTGGACAAGACTCAATTCGAAGGAAAGCTCGGTGGATCACCACTTGAGCAGTGCTTGGCCCGTTTGTCAGTCTCTCTTCAAGCTATTCACGACAGCCTTCCGCCCTGCACGGCATTCGTTGTCTACTCGGGCTCTGGTGATCCTCGCGAGATGAGTAGACTTCAGGCCATACACACGCAGTGGAAGCGGGAGTATAATACGCCTGGAAAGAAGTGGGACCAACTGTCAGTCAAGTGGACGGACGAGGAGGAGCAGGCTCTCCGACGCGCTGTCATCAAGGCCCGTCAGAGTATCGGCTTCATTGGCGTAAAATAGTTGAGGAGAGTCCATGAGCAGCAGCAGCGTTTTATGCAAAGAGAGAAAGACCTACGGCATTTGAAAGATCCCAAGTATAGGGAACAGTCCTCGGATGAGGGACTCACGGATTAGTGTTCATACATGATACCCATAACCTAGGTCATGGCATAGAAGACTACTAGCAGCTGAGAGAAAACGTCGCCTCTATGTATAGTGAGGAGTGCGAAGGTAGGATGACAGTGAACCATTCCAGGGCCCTGAGAAGATGGATACCATCGGAATTCAGCCGAGATTGCTGATCTTGTTGTTGAAGTCCTGCTATCTACATCGCGGTTGTCGGGTTAAATTGCCTAAAGAGGAACACAAAGATGTTGTAGCACGAGCAGTGACATGTTTCTTGTACACCCATGCGCCATTCACATGCGCGCTTCGGAGTCCAGAGCTCCAAAGGAACTGGGGTCAGCGCTCACCCCACTGTCGTTTTCTCTCAACCTTGGAGACCTGATTGGTTACCCCGCCTCCGGCTGCGGAGAAAGATATCAACCGTGTGCCGCGCCTAAGCCCCCCCCGCCGGCCTGCCTCGGTATCTTCTCGGAGACGCAGCCGCTCAAGGTTGGTTGAATTCCAAACCAGTCACATCCCACCTGTCTACCAACTCAAGCCCAACCATATTTTACCCGAATTCTCTAGAAATTGACCTTTCCAACGGTTCTAGGGCAACCTTCTCTACAAACATCTCAATCACGGTTGCCGCAATATCGTATCGAGAAGCCCGGCTTCCTACCCTTCAAAATGTCGTTCATGGGTGGCGCAGAATGCTCAACCTCTGGCAACCCCCTCAGCCAATTCCAGAAGCATGTCCAAGATGACAAGACTCTTCAGAGAGACAGATTGGTGCAAAGGGGCCCGAATGCGCTCGCCGGTGGCTTCCGAAGCGCGGGCGCAAGCACCCCACAGGATGAGGTACGCATATAGCGGACATCCAAAGTCATGGACTCCTTCGAACTAACTGGCCCTTACAGATGATGAACGGTTTCCTTAACAAAGCCCCAGGTCTCCAGCAAGAGCTCCCCATGCAAAATGGCGCTGTCCGAATCGATCCGAACCAGGGAGTCCACCTCCGTGCAAACTCAACATCACCGACATGGGCGGGAGACTTCCAGAACCAAGCTGCTATGGAGTCGGCATTCCAACAACCCCCCGGAACCCAATTCAGCCCCGAAGATTTCGCGCGCTTCCGACAGATGAACCAGCAACCCTCATCGGCGAGAGCAAGCCCCATGCCCGGCCAAATGGCGCAACAGCCGAGAATGGGCATGGGAATGAACATGGGGATGGGAATGGGAATGGGTTACAACAGCATGATGGGCCAGCCCACGTTCCAGCCCATGTACCAGCAACCGATGCAACAACAACACGAGGACGCCAAGGGCAAGGGAAAGCTAGTAGAGCTCGACGACAACCAGTGGGAGGAACAGTTCGCCCAGATGGAGTTGCAGGAGAAGGAGGAGCAGGAGGCCAAGGCTGCGGAGCCTGAACTGGACGAGATGGACAGGGCAATGCAGAGTGAGACAGGTTTCGGCGATTTCGAGTCAATATGGAAAGGAATCCAGGCTGAAACTGCTGCAGCAAGAGGCATGGTCGACGATTCGACTTTCGATAAATTCGACAGCGAGGACTGGGGTCCAGACTTCACCGGCATGAACGGCGACTGGGGCAGACTCGGCGATCCCGTCATCGAGAACTATCTCTTTGAAGAGGACAACTTCTTCAGCGAGGAGAAGAACGCATTCGACGAGGGCGTCCGCATCATGCGCGAGGGAGGGAATTTATCACTAGCGGCTCTCGCATTCGAGGCTGCAGTCCAGCAAAACCCACAGCATACCGAGGCGTGGGTATACCTCGGCTCGGCGCAGGCACAGAACGAGAAGGAGACGGCGGCTATTCGTGCGCTCGAACAAGCTATCAAGCAAGATCCCAACAACCTCGCCGCCCTCATGGGCCTGGCTGTCTCGTACACCAACGAGGGCTATGACAGCACTGCTTACCGCACACTCGAGCGGTGGCTCTCGGTCAAATACCCGCAGATTATCGCACCAACTGACTTACATCCCATGGCGGAGATGGGCTTCACTGACCGGCAGCAACTCCACGATAAGGTTACCGGACTGTTCATCAAGGCGGCACAGCTCAGCCCGGACGGCGAACACATGGACCCCGACGTCCAGGTCGGCCTGGGCGTCCTCTTCTACGGCGCCGAGGAGTACGACAAGGCCGTCGACTGCTTCACAGCTGCCCTCCACTCCTCGGAACTCGGCGCTTCGAACCAGCAAGAGCAGCTGCACCTGCTCTGGAACCGTCTGGGCGCCACACTCGCCAACTCGGGCCGCTCCGAGGAGGCCATCGCGGCGTACGAGAAGGCGCTGAGCATTCACCCCAACTTTGTCCGCGCACGGTACAACCTGGGTGTCAGCTGCATCAATATCGGGTGCCACGCCGAGGCGGCGTCGCACTTCCTCGCCGCGCTCAACATGCACAAGGCGATCGAGAAGAGCGGCCGTAACATGGCGTACGAGATTCTGGGCGGCGGCGGGGGTTCCAGCGGCAGCGGCAACACGGCGCAGCTCGATGAGCAGATTGACCGCATGACGGCGCAGAACCGGAGCACGACTCTGTACGATACCCTGAGGAGAGTGTTTACGCAGATGGGCCGTCGGGATCTGGCGGAGAAGACCGTTGCCGGTGTAGATCCCGAGATCTTCAGGGGCGAATTCGACTTCTAGAGCGCTTCTAGATCTGGTTGCATGATGGATCAATTGAACAAAAGAAAGGCTGCCTCGAGGGCTAAATGTAGCATTATAGCGGGTGGAAAAGAATGAATGAGACAACGCCTTTCATGAGAACCTTTTATCTAGCTGGATGATTATGTCTTGGCATGGATTGCTAGACAGGTGTCGTATAGTGACTTCTGGTCTTTGTGGCATCAGAAAGTCTTCTGTATATCTCATATCCCACCTCGTCGGTCGAGAGCAAGGGCTTCGGCTCGGTTATGCAAGGCGACGGAGGCCCTCGTTCTCTTGGACCACAAAAAAACAGCGCCAAAGTCATGTTGCGATGAGGCTTTGTTATTTGGTATCGAACGGACTTGGCGGGATCTGCCCTGTGAACCACCTCTGTACAAGGCTCACACACAAAAGAATAGCACTCTTTAGTTAATTTAAGTAGGTTGAATCAAGGTGTTCAATACAACTAAGTGGGGTTCACAGTTTTGGTGCATCTCATTCCCTTCGTTTCTCATCAAGTTGATGATTTGACCAACTGACATCACCATAAATATTCCCATCGCGTAGTACTTGTAAGAATCAATTCTGACTAGGGTATCTTGAAACTGCCGGCTAAAAGACCACACACACTCCCGCGCTCTAAACCCTCTCTTCCTCACACCCACGACCTCTGGTCCATATAATCCATCTCTCACCCACTACTTCTTGGTCCCGCCACCGCTGTTACTCCCGCCGCTACCTCCGCCGCTGTTCCCCTTGCTACCACCCGAGGCACCTCCCCAGTTATTGCCCTTGGTCCCTCCGTGGCTCAGTGTTCCCTTGCTCTTGGCAGGATCCTGCCAGGGCGGGTTGGTGGGATCGTGGTGGTAGATGGGGGTTGTCTCCTTGCCTGACACGTTTGCTTTTGAACTTTGGGGGAGATGTGATTTTGTGTAGATATTTAGTAGAATATGTGAAGTGTAGAGATCGTTTTTGAGCTTGGTTATGCTGGATTGGAACTGGTTGTGGTTTGAACTTGTTGGAGCTGGATGCTGAGCGATGAATTGTTTTGAGGATGGTGCTGTTCAAACAAGTTATCACGCATTCCGGCTTGTTTAATACATGCTTGGGTCTGTTCATGTTGGGCTTGGTGACTGGTTTGAACGTGGACGGTGAATAGATTGGTGAGATACCAGATGAAAAGGTCCCAGTTTGATATTGGCACCTCGTCTAGAATGCATAATGATCAACATTCACACTTGGGAACATTGATTTCTTCTTTCTTCAATGAACAAGAAATGTATTCGGCATTTGCGTTAGTTTTTTCCATCGGTTTGCTCGATCTGTCCCGTTTTGCTGTTTTCTCCCTGCTACGCCAAACTTCACATTTCATTGTCTTAAGTACACCAACGTGGATTTTGCGAACCTCCCTGGCTCTGCCAATACCATGGTGGATCATTACCCGCTTCTCGTCATAGGTAGGAGCAAAAGCCTTCGGGGTCATGTTCTTTCTTTTCTGGTCTCGCTGCGTCAACCTTGTTCACAGCCCTCCCACTTTTCTATCAATTCTCACCTTCTAGCCAAGGTTGCTTGACTTACCATGAGCGAACTGTACAAGCTTTGGCCAGTACATTTGGATTCTCCATGTAAATATTTGAGCCTCGAATGACAGGAATCACGGATCGCCAGGCTCGTGGACGTTCATCCTAGACCTAGCGACAGCGGGACTCAAATTTCAGGAGCAAAGTCTCGGAGCAGCAGCAGCAGAACTCCATCGGAGGGGGGGAAGAGGTTTCTCGATGCCATCATCGCGCCCTGCAGCGGCGGCAGCCCTCCTTTTACGACATAGCCCTCAGCTGCGAGGGGCGCAGATGAGAGCTTTTCCGTGGCCAACTGTAGAAAGAAATAGACCGCCCGCGAGTACACTATGAAGAAATGGAACGCGTGGAAAAATGGTGGCCACCACATAATCGACTTGATGGCAGCAGGATATCAGAGTCAGCTTGATATTGCGTGCGTACCACGAGTATGAAACACATGACAAGAATTTTTTCATCATGAGATACTAGTCGCTCGTCCACAAAAGCCGATTTACCCAGCCGACGGGGGGCTTTCTCAGCGGTGAAAATTCCAGCTAGCAGAGTATGATATGCTTCTGAGGAAGTTTAAGACTCCGTCCAAAAAGATGAAGTTTCTGCGTGTTTTTCCGAGACTAATAAGTGCATCGTGAAATCTCCCATGAATGGAAGCTTGACAAAGTTCCAAAATCTTATCAAGGTGGAATGCTTTAATCCGAAGAACCATTAACTATTGACGTGATCATCAAGTATGCATGTTGAAATTTTGACATGTCTTGTCGGAAAGTGAAGCGTAGGTGAAGATAAGCTACGTCAAAACATGATGGTCCCAGGCTTCAAGTTCCCCTAAATAGGTCATCTTCCGGCCTCGGACGAACAAGCAAGCAAGCTCGAATCCTTTCTAGGATATCGGCCGGTTGGCCCAATGGCAAGGCGTCTGACTACGACTAAGTGTGTTATCAGGAGATTCTGGGTTCGACCCCCAGGCTGGTCAAAATTCTTTTGTCCTTGGTTGTAATTCTTGTGCTAAATCGGACTTTTTTGCACCAGTGGGTGCTTGATGGTGGTGCGCTGGGGGGAAAAAAAAAAGTACGGGTTTGCGCATGTATGTGGTGGGCTGGCTTAGGTCTCTGACCAACCAGAATCAACTGTCGAGACGAATTGGGAAGAAATTCTGGATTCCCCCCCCGTGTAAGAGTTTTGGAGAAATGTTGCATGCATGCATGGTTTTGGTCTTGGGCTGCCGGGGGTATCGGGACCGGCGGGTCTTGCACCGTTTTCCCACCGACGTACTCCGTACCTTACTTACTGATAGGTATCTGATATCAATGCCTTCGTCTGCATGTGGGCACGAAAGAGTGTCGCGCGTTCATAAGCGTGTCGCGATCAAGGTTTCTCTAGATACGTGTATTCGCGACGGGTAGGGTATTCGCTACTTTCCAACGGCGATGCCGTGATGTTCCTGACTTGGGCCCCCTCTTTTCCCCCCTTTGAGAACCTTTGTAGAAGGGGCGGACGGACCTTCCATGCCTCCATGTTGTTCGTCAAGGAGAAACATTGCGGGGGAGAGGGGTGGAGGACTGAGAGCGAGCGGGAAGCACGTAGTGTAGGATAATATGGTATGATGGTTCGTGAGTTCCGTGAACAAGGTCCAAGGAAGATGGGTGGGCGCGGGTATCCCGTTCACTCTGTGAAATTCTCGCGGGAAAAGAAACTGACTCGGTCGGTCGGGGGGGGGGGAGCAGAAGCAGAAGCAGAACGGGGGCCGGGGGAAGCGTGTTGTTTTTGCTGCGGGGGCCTTGGTCGCCGGAGCAGAAGATCATCCTGTTACGGAGTACATACATATATATAGCCTTCAGCTAGCCCTTCCAGGAGCGGGATAGCTAAATAGATTGTGACGGGATACAAAATGTTCGCCTTGACCGATCCAGGGAACAGGCAACGTCGCAACAAGAAGAAGGCTAGAAAGCTTTGGCCAGGTTCCGTACAATCCGTTGTCCGTCATTCCCATCAGAGAAAGTTTTCTCCTTGGTCCGTGTCAATGATGCCGAAAGCAAGACGGGAACCGGGGGGCGTGGTGAAGAATGTCGTCCACGGTCGACGGTCCAGGAGAAGGAGGTCGGGCGCGAGCAAGGTCATGGAGAAGAACACAGGTCTCCGTAAGAATGGGAAAGAGAAAAAAAAGAACGGGGACTTTTTGTACTTGGCCGGGTGCCGGGATCAAACAACATTACCGGGAAAGTCAGAGGCTGCCCGCCTCCGTCTGATCAATATCCCGTTCCTCCAAGGACATGAGAATGCTCTGGGCCCCCGAATAAGGGTCGGTGCTTTTGCTCTCTCTCTCTCTCTCTCCTCGCTTTATGTGTTTCCGCCGGGGACTCCCATGCCGAACGTTTTTCTGTCGGTCCTTCGTCCCGATATTCCGTGCTTGCCCGTAGACAGACTTCTCTGGAAATGGACATAGGCGATTAGATAGCGAAAAGCTCGCACAGAGCCTCGAGTTGTTATGGACAGCATAACCAAGAGACGGTAATCAGAGTGAATCAGGTAAGGAGTTTGGAGCAAAGTCATGTTTTGAAGGAGAGATATTACATTTTTATACATGAAGAATTTTGCCATGTATGCCCAAAGAAAGCCCCATGATAAGCAAAAGGCCTTCTTCTTCTAAAGTTCGTATGATACAATGCCTTTTGGTCGGCTTCAAGTTATTCATCGTTGCGTCAGGAGATTTCCCCCCCCCCCCCCCCCCCCCCCCAGTCTTCTCCAAACACATTTTTTCTTCTCTTCCGCCCGAGAGTCTTTTTCCCCTCCAGGCAGCCCAGGACGCTTTCTCTTCATCCATCCCTGACGCTTTTTCCCGCTAGGAAAAAAAACACAAAAGTAGAAAAAAAAAAAAAAAAGAGGACATCAGATCTCGTACAAAAGGCTCATCGAAAGCCTTCAGCCACCGAAACAAAACCATCGACTCAACTTTCCCTTCTCGAGCTCACAAGGAGGGACATCGTCAATGCCCTTGATCATTTTCAGCCGACACACACACACTCGACCACCTTAAGAAAAGGTAACTTAGGCGTTCCAGTTGTTCTGCTGCTCACCAGCCTCGGGCTTCTGCTCCTTCTGCGCCTCCTCGGCCTGGGCATGCTCGCTCTCGACACGCTCCTCAACCTGCGTCGACGAGTCTCTGTCGGAACGGGGGCCACGACGAGGTTTGGAAGCGGGGGCGTAGGCGCTCATCAGCTTGCGGCCGTGAATCTCAGTCTCGTTGAGGACCTCAATGGCCGCCGTCGCCGCCTCGATGGAGGTGAAGTCGGCGTGGGCGAAGCCACGCGGCCAGCCCGTCGCGCGGTCCACGGCGATGCGTACGTCATTGACGTCCTTGAGGCTGCTAAAGAGGTCGTTCAAGTCCTTGTCAGAGGCCTCGAAGGAGATGTTACCGATGTAGATGGTCCCTGTGGGAGGGCCGTCGTAAATGGTCTTCTTGGCCGCTCTGTTGTTGCCTCTCTCGCCTCTCTCGCCCCTTTCTCTGGCGGGTCCTCTTGCGTTTGCGTCGCGAGCCTTGGCGACGATGCGGCGGCCGTGCCAGAACGTTCCATCAACGTTCTCGGCAGCCTCGGTCACGGCCTCAGCGGTCTTGAAGTAGACAAAGCAAAAGCTAGAAGAGGATCCAGCGATTAGCCCCTGATCAACTTAGGTAGGAAAAGTTCAGATGATACCCTCTCCTCAGGGTTCTGGCACGAGAGCCGGAGCCATCAGGAAAGGGGAAAAGGAAGACATGGAGCCAGAAGCTCCGCCAGGAGATCCAGTGATATGGAAACGTACCTCTTCTTAGGAGGCATCGCAACGCCGACAACCTCGCCGTACTTGGAGAAAGCCTCGCTCAGCTCCTCGGCCTTCACATCGAAAGAGTAGTTTTGGACGAAGAGAACGTGCTCGCTGGGATCTTGTCTGCGGCCCCTCTGCTCGGTTTGGCGGAAGCCTCCCTCTTCACGGAACGCAACGGAGCGGGAGAAGGCTCTCGGCGCGGCGGCGGAGAAGGATCTGATGGCAGCAGCGTTCAGGGCACGCAGAGCAAAAGAGACGGCCTGCGACTTGGGCGCAGCGGCGGCGGTGACCGAGCTGGTGAAGGTGGCGCGAGTGGCCGCGCGACGGAATGACTGCCTGACGTCGGAGAAAGTTCCCAATTAGCTTCCTTCGACCATGGAATTATTGCAGAGAGCAACATTGCCGGAGCATGACAGAGCAGAGTACTTACATATTGAAGGGATGTGATGGGGGACTAGTAGACGGATTGATGAGTAGAGAGGGAGAAACGTAAAGGGTGAAGGGCGAGAGATGATGTGGTGTGCAGATTGAGATTTCCATGGGCGAACGAGAAATTTTGGGATGACCGTGTCGAGGGTCGCGGCGACCGGGTACGCTAGTCTACTTTCGACCTAGCGCATTTCTACAAAGTATCCACTCGAAGTCCAGCCATGGCACGGAAGGTACGTCAACCTTGACTGTTCGGCTTCGTTTTTCCTTCACGATGAGTCGGTCCAAGTTTATGATATTGCAATAGAACTGATATTCGCAGTGATTCCTCATCCCGCCTGGGAGGAGATTGTGATTTGCAGCTTCCATGGCCACTCGCTTCCAGGGAGAGGCCTAAGCTCGTCTCTGGGAGAACAAATTCAAACGCTGGATTCCCTCTGGTATCCCCCGCCTGAGGGATGATCCATAATCTCCCATCAGTCATTGAACCTGCCGCAGACTTTCCCTGTATAATTTTTTTTTCTTCCCAGAGCACAGCAATGGATTACATGGCATGCACCCTAGATGCCCGCGTCGCCGTCCCATTGACCAACGCGTAGGTATATACACCAGGGCTCTCCGTGCCGTTCCCTCCTTGACCTTCTCGAGCCTTGCCCACCCCAACCCCCAAAAACAAATGAAACATAGGACGCCTTCTTGCTTTTTTATCTACTGACCAAGGACGAGGGTATATTGTCGTCCCCCGTGATCAGTTTTGAACTGGAGGAGCCGATCTCAACGGAACCTGTGAGCCAGTGGCACACTCAGGTATCGATACATTCGACACGAAAAGAAATAAACAAACAGCCCGCCAAACGGCATTGTGGGGCATAGCGCTTTCCAGCAAAGGCACAGAACTGTAATAGAACACGCAGACCTGAAAGCGAGGCCGTGGACATGTGGTTGGGTATAGGTTGGTTCATCCCGCAGGCTCTTTGCCCACGGGGTCGCTGCGTGCGCGGCTTGTTGACCCACGAGTATGTGCCGTGGCGAGTGTTTGGAGCACGCTGCTTCGCATAATGTGGTCATGTACATGATGACCGTTGATTCTTCCTTGCCTCATTTCGTCTTTGATATGGACTCAGTACCTCTCGGGACGATAGCCGTTGACTCTGGGAGCCTCGTACTGGACGCCCGTCATTGAGTCAGGCCCGTTGGGCATGTTGCCGTTCAGCCCTCGAATTGGTGGCAGCTCACGGCGGGCCGCGTAAGGATCCGCCTGATACCCGACCGCTTGAGGGGGAGGGACTTGGGATTGAGGCGGCGCCTGGCCTGTGGGGGACTGTTGCAGCCTCGTGTTGTGCAGCTCATTCTGGAGACGCTGAATGTCTACGCGCAAGTTGTGGTTGTCTTGTCGCAGTCCGTCATTCTCCTGGGCCAACGTTGTGTTTTGCGACTGCACCATGCGCATGACGTCTGCCATTCGTTGGTGCTCGGAAATAGCTATTACTGATCAGCATATGCTCGAGAATCGATATGTGCATCACGGAACTAACCTTTGGTAAGAATTTCCCACTTTGACGCTTTGGAACCTCGCTCCTGTGGCATCAAATCGCGGAGTTGGTCGAACAATTCCTTCATCTCCGTCCTTCTCTTGCGTTCCGCCAACTTGTGACTCTTCCGCAGCTCAGGCGTGCGGCTGTAAGGTTGTGAGCCCGTCCGCGATGCGGCATCGTCGTCGCGCAGATCTCCAATTTGCTTGAGCTGCAGGGAGTGATGATGGACGGGAGGAAAATCGGAAGAGGTGCTTGATAAACGGTTGTTGAAGTCGGCAGGCTCGTCCAAACGTCTCTGGCCAGGCGGTAGTCTCGATTCCGTGGTGAACTGGCTGCTGGCTATGGACTCGGCGATACTACTACGTCTCGAGTCCAAGTACTGCTCGTGGTGGCTGATTCGTTGTATTTCTTCCTCTGGGAAAGCCCATGCCTGACCCTTGGTGGGCTCCGCAGCTCGGGCGATGTTGCTCGTCGCAGGGCCTGTAATGGCCGGGGCGGTCCGAATGATCTTTGGGTGCTCAGGGTTTCTGTCGCTGCTGGGCTGATATCCATTGGAGATGCGGTGTACCGAAAGATTGTCCAAGCCGGGACGGGGGTTGCGCTGCTGGTTGAGAGTGTTCTGGATCGAGGTAGTCGACTGGTTGTGACTCGCGTATGGCGAGTTCCCGCCCAATCTCAAGTCGTGAAAACCCTGATTTATCCGGCTGTCTACACTCTCTCTTCGGGATCCAGGCCCCATCATGTCGTGAACCACTCCGGAATCCAGTGATGTCGGGCGCTCGAATCGACGCGGGTCAGCGCTACCGGGGGTTGTTGGCGACACCATGGCGGCGACACTCATGTTGCTCTGTCCAGGCGACACCAGCTGAGGGATCATGTTAGCCGTGACAGGCGAAGGTGTCTTGTCTGCCAGCGAAGATTGGTAGCCTGACCCCGTGGGGCTGAGGGCATGGTGCACGACGCCTGATGCCGCAGAGTTATCTGTGGGGAGAAAGAGTTAGTTGCGCCCCCTCCATCGCGAGCGTTTCTAGCTTTGGTGTCCAACGTACGCTTGCTTGAGGCATCTGTACTAGAGTAATAAGCCGAGTCGCGGTTTTCGTCTGGGTTCAATACACCCGCTAATCCCGCAGGAAGCTTCTGTGAAGCTGGTCGCTGTCCGTCCATGTTGTATCTCGACGATTATCCGAGGACGAGGCCTGGTTGGATGGCAATCACGTATGGTGGCAAGTGGAGCGAGAACGATAGCCGTCGTGATGCACTTGTGAATCGGAGTCGGTGATCGGATTGGAGGTGAAGCAGAAGAAGAAGAAGAAGAAGAAGAAGAAGAAGAAGAAGAATGGCCAGAGCGAGGCGAAGCGAGGCACAGGTAGGCGATGAACGAGGCGGACCAGGTGTGTAGCGAAAACGTGGCGAACAATCAGATTGTCCGGGGTTGAATTGTGCTGGACATGCGAAAGCAGCAGCCTTTCTGTAAGGCGTCTGTCTGAAAGCGCAGGCTGCTCGAATCGTGGGATTGTTTGGATAACGAACGAAGGTATTGGTGAGGGGGGAAGAAGAGCGCGATGAGGGTGGGATGGAGAAGGTTGAATAAGGACGAGGCCGAGGAGCAAGGAGGAGAGGTCTAGTAAACTCGAAGGTCGGCCGGCGTAAGGTAGAGAGGTAGAGGCGAGTGGAGGAGAAGGACGGCTCGACGCAGGCAGTTTCAAGATTGGGAGAACGGGAGCTGGGGGTGGAGGGGATAAGATGGAATTGAGCAGGCGGGAGCGCTAGGTAGGTAGGGTGGGTGGGTGACTTGTTGGCCTGAGCAGACGAGCAGAAGAAGACTTAACCCGGAAGAAAGAAGCTGGGATCCAGACACCAAGAAAAAAAGAGCGGCAGCGACAGGCGGCCTTTGGAACCGGGGGGGGGGGGGGAGAGAGAGAGAGAGAGAGGAGAGGATGCACAGGACAGGACAGGACAGGACAGGATAGGACAAGCCCAGGACAGGGCAAGACAAGACAGGGTTTCTGGGTACAGGGGAGGGGGGAGTGAAGCTAAATCAAATGGGAAGTCTCTCGCTCCTCTCTTTTTCTCTCTCTCGCGCTCTCTCAGTTCCTCTGTCTCTGTTTCTGTATGTGTGTACGAAGTACTCCGTACTGTCTCCCGTCTCCTTCTCTCTCTTCTCCTCTCAGGCTCTCTCTTTCCCTCCGTTGGTCCCTCCTCACAAGTTCACCCCAGTCCTTTTTCTAGATATCTGTCTTTTTTATTTCCATAGTGACTTGGACGAACTGTCGCTGCTAGAGAGAGAGAAAGACAGAGAGAGAGAGAGAGAGAGAGAGAGAGAGGGTGTGTGTGAATGAGCCAACGGCACTACCTGAATTACGCTTCTACCATCTACGCACGAAGCGAGGTACGGAGTACATCGTACAGTACCGTCTGTGTTTTCGTACGCTTTTCCCATCTGCTTACTTCCCAGTCAGATAGCTATTTGTCCCTATGCAGTGGCACGGAATATGTATTCGTATTTCTGCCCAGCAGCGGTAAAATCACACATGAGCACCCCTCTTCTCTCTCCGCCAAGATGGAAAAAAATCAGACAACGGAATAAACAGAGAGGAAAAGGTGGGTAGGTACTGATTCATTTGCGGCTTGCCCCGGCGCTGAAATGGCTCTGACATTGATATCATGGAAAGCCGTCACCATCTCCAACCTCTTGTCGCGTCTCAGTCAAAGCATCGTTGCTGCTTCATCCTGCTGTGTCGAGTGTAGGTACATCTGCCTACTCCTGCGTCTTTGCCTCCAATGTCTGCATCTGCTGCTTGCCAGCCCTGAAAATAAGGTATGCCAACGTATTGTAGCGCTACTGTGGACGGGCAGAGCCACCTGGAATAAGGTATCCAAGTAACCCGATCGAGTGCATGTACCCATGCCTTGTGCGGCATGCCAGTCGATTTCGCTGGCTGCTGCTCAGATAGCTCACGCCTCCGAGGTCGACCCAGAGCATCGCATGGGGAGGGGGGTCTGGCGACCGTGTCGAGGCAGATGAGAAAAGTACTTGGTCCGCAGGTATCAAGACTCTGCTGTCTCTGAGCGTGCCTGGGGGGTGTCACCCCAACTACCTCTCTGCCACAACCATGCCGGGCGGCGCCATCGTGGACGACGTGGCGGCACAGCCGAACCCTGCTCGGGGGTTTTTGGGCACGCATGGGCGCTGTTCACGTTTCTTATTTCCCGGACTCGGCGGTAGCGAGTACTTGGGACGTTTGTCTAGCCCCGTAGCAATCATCCCTGTCCCTGCACCGACATCAGCATGGCAAGCCATATGGCCTTGCCAATGTATCCACACACACGGCGCACGCTGCACGCCCTCGTGGATGTGCCATACCACGCTGGGAAGCTCGAGGGGAAGGACGTCTCCGATGGAAGTGGGGTCGCGGTCCTCACATGCATCGAGCATCTGCTTGTCGTGTGGCATCCTGGAGAAGGTTTTTTGCTAACAGCTCTATGTGGTGTGCGTGTGCGTATGCATCCGCGTACGTTTGTCGTCCAAGTGTAAGTAGCTGGACAAAGCCTCCCGTATATTCAACTGCTTGACGGTTTAGTGGACTCTGGGGGCAGCAGCATACAGTGCTCCGTATCCGTACTTTGCCCCTTTCAATTCGTGCCCTGCACTTTCAGAGTCACGTTGCTGCTCGCCGTCATGAATGTCTTTAGTAGTGGGATTCTTCCCTTTTCTAGCACGCTCAAGGCCGACCCTGGACTTGCCCATCATGAGGATGAATGCTGCATTGAGTACAGCGGGATAACAGCGGCAGCCGCAGTGGCCGTATTTCCATGGTGCGTATCCATACTTGATTGTGTGACCTGATCGTGTAAATGGTTTAAATGACGATTGTGCTCTGAAGAAGCAACAGCGCCAGGGTCGCACCATGCCATGCCGTCGATGCCATGCCTAGCCAGATCAGGCCGGTATGTTGGTCAGGCCAGGTCGTCCCAAAGACGGGTCTCGGGCAGCGCACAGTAGGTAGGTATTCGTAGTAGAGCCTAGAGGGAGAGCCCAACAGCAAAAGGAATGAAGAATGCTGGCGGGATCTGATGACGGGCCCGCTGTTTTCATGTTTCGTCTCACAATGATCGAGACCAAATGCCACCCAGTTCGGGGCTTGCGAACTGGCGGGGGCCAGAAGAAACTTGAGAGGCTCGGCGGGCCTTACCTGTGTGACTGGGAAAAGAGAAAGGCCCATCAAAAAATTTAAGAAGCGAACGAGGCCGGACCGATCGTGTAAGCATTCCAAGAGTGCGCATCAAACGCCATCACCGTCATCTAGGCCACGCTCTTGCGCTTCGGACTCGGAATCCGGTCCGGTCCCTGTACCGGGCTTCAATGTTGGAGTTGTTCGCAGCCGGAACAGGATCGCCAGTACCAGGACAGGTATCTGTAGGCCGTGCCGTGTCGTACCGTCGTCGAAGAACCTTGGCAACTCGGTTGGGAACTTGGGATGCCAAGGGGTCGGCCGAGAATTCCAGCGGTAGCAACAATGACCGAGGCCTGATGCTGCTCTATATGTGACGACTTTAACTCAACGTGGTGTTAATTTTCAGTCGAGTGGTTCTTTGCAGCAATGTGCAATTGATGAGCTGCTGCGCTCACATGTTTGCTTGCCCTTGATGCCTGAGTCCCTTGTGAAATCCAGGTATGGATGGATACATGGGCACCGTGGGCTGCCAACGACAAACCGGGTACGTAGTGTATCGCCCTCCGCCATTGTGTTGGTGCCATGGTCATTCCGTGCAGGCATGCGTGTCTAGCAGTTGATATGCTGAATGCCGACTTCATCGTGGATAGCGGATGCAGGCAGACCGACGCCGATGGGGTTCAAAAATTTGATGCCTAGGGTCCCCTCATCATCAAACCCCTATCCTGACTGAAGGGATTTGGGCTGGGTATCCGTACGGAGTAGTCGTAGGAGAACAGGGCCGCCAGCCAACAGGACTTGCCCCCGGTCCCGGGGACGAGACGGAAGAGGATGGCGTTTCTTGTCATCCCAGTAGGACTGCGGCCAGAGTGGCAGAGCCAGCGTCGAATCTAAACATGGTCCAGTGGCCAGAGCATCATTCTTCAAGCCTCAAGTCGGTAGCCATACTCCGCTGCGTAGTAATACCTAGAAGAAGAGAGAACTGTAGTGAACGGACTGCCCTTTGGCGGTAGGGCGGGTGGTGATGAAGGTGGGCACCATCAGCAGGGCTCGACATGGCATGGCTACCGCGTGCGGAGCTGGTAGCGGCCATAGCATATCCAGACGGGCCTTGCTGCTCGAGGTGGTTGCTTGCCTCGTGCGTACCGGGCTGGGAACAAGCTGGGAGCGGCACCGTTTGCGACGGGCGATGGGCGATGCGGGATGTGCACGTCCATTCGTGGATGACGGATCCATCCCGCCATGTCAATATTCCAGGCGACTGGGTTTGAGCCGATCGGTCCCATGTGCGTTCCATGCGGTAGTGTACTCCGTACAGCGCCTGGGAGGATGCCGTACCACCACCAACAAAGGTTCCCGACCTAGGACTAGTCAGCCAAGCGTGGTGAAGAGACGTAAGCAGAGCACACCTCCGTCGGCCGTCCAAGCATGAAAACGATAGCCGGGGGAGAAATCGTTCTGGGTCAGATCCAGCCGAGATCAGGTCCGTGAAGAAGCGGCACGAGAGGGAGGCACAGGCACAGACACAGGCACAGGCAAGGAGGGACCCGGATCTTTGGTGCCAGAACCCTGAAATCTGTGTCTCGGGGTTGTCTTTTTTTTTTTTTTTTTTTTTTTTTTTTCTTTCGTTTTTGGTTTTGTCGAACCATGGTAAAGCAACATGTGGTGATGCAAGGTAGACGGTGATGGTGTCGGATACTGGGCACCAACGTGGCAATCACCACCCGTAGGCAGCTTGGCAGGTCAGATAGGATCGCATCGTTTGTTTTTGCTCGGGGACTGTAGGAACAAAGGCGGCTCCACCAAAGGCCGTCGCGAGCAATGTTGGTGTTGTCTATACGGATACACAATTTTGGGCCTGGATAGTAGACTGTAACACGACGGATGAATGACTTTGATGTTTTTCTCCCCTCTCAGGTCGTTTGGTTATGTGTACGAAGTACCTCATGTGTGTGTGTGTGAAATAGGGCACCGTCTCTGGGGGATGCA